GACAGAAAAACACGCGACCGGAAGTGAATTTTTGAAAGATATTTAAGGTTACTCTAGACCTTTGCAATCTGAATAACATATTTAAAATTCATTTCAAATACATTTTCTATAAAGAATATCTATAGGAAAGTAAAATACTCAAATTTTGTATTTTTTCTCTTATAACCGGAAGTTGTCGTTTTTGTTTCCGGTGGGACCAACATCTTTCGAATCTGCGAAAAAGATGCAATAAAGTGATGCAATTTTGAAATAAAAAAAGAAAAGTTGAAATTTTCGATTTCTTTGATCACTTCCTGTGACGACCGGAAATGACGGCTGACGCTCTGAACCCAAGTGGTTTTTGCTACATCTTAAGGTCTGTTGCTCATATAAGTCTGGTGTCTTAATCTCTTACCGTTTCCGAGATCTTGCTCAGACAACTTCTCATTTTGAGGACAGAAAAACACGCTACCGGAAGTGAATTTTTGAAAGATATTTGAGGTTACCCTAGACATTTGCTTTCTGAATAACATATATGAAATTCATTCCAAATACTTTATTTACAATAATTATTAATGGGAAAGAAAAATACTCAAATTGTGTAGTTTTTCTCTTATAACCGGAAGTTGACGTATTTGTTTCCGGTGGGACCAACATATTTCAAAACTACAAAAGAGATGCAATAAAGTGATGTAAGAATTGATTTAAAAAAGGAAAGTTGAAATTTAACGATTTCTTTGATCACTTCCGTAAGCGACCGGAAGTGCCGACGACAGACGAAAAGGTGCCCTCTCCAATCTAAAAATCATGTTCTATCATCTCTAACAAGTCTCCAGTTAATATCTTAAGCCGTTCTTGAGAACACTCGCGGACAAAATTGCATTTTAAAATCAGAAAATTGTCCATAACTTGGCACTGGAACCGAGTTTACCAAAAAACGGAATTTTATACAAAATTCATATAAGGACCTTTAATCCCTGAAAATTTCAAGGAAATTCATTGAATAGTTTTCGAGAAATCGCGTGCACAAAATTTTGTCTAAAAAAAAAAGAATAATAATAATAATAATAATAAAAATAAGAAACAATAGAATCACTATAAGGTCTTCCGTGGAGACGGAAGACCTTAATAAGAAACAGTAGAATCACTATAGGTCTTCCGCTGAAAACGGAAGTCCTATTAAGAAACAGTACAATCACTATAGGTCTTCCGCTGAAAACGGAAGACCTAATAAGAAACAGTAGAATCACTATAGGTCTTCCGCTGAAAACGGAAGACCTAATAATAAGAAACAATCACTATAAGGTCTTCCGTGAAGACGGAAGACCTTAATAATAAGAAACAGTAGAATCACTATAAGGTCTTCCGTGAAGACGGAAGACCTTAATTCTTTCGACATGTGCACATCCCCGTAGCGATAGCTGTATTTCAGGCAAATGAGTATAAAGCGTTCGACGCGTTTTCTCGGCATGCATGCATGCATGTATTACTTCAATGCGTAAGTTGCATAGTATGTGCTTATACCGTGTAGCATGCATAAAGCCCAACAGTACAGTGTTTTGTTTTGGGTTTTTTTTTTGTTTTTTTTTTTAAATGCTTGTGGTACCGTAGCTACTTTATTGTTCAATTATTTCAATAGAATAGATCAACAACACAGTATTGGCAGTCTTTGTCGTGGCTTTAATAATAATAATATATGAAATCAGATTTGACAAACACTATATCAATCCACTAAATTATTGTATTATGTATATGTTATTAAACTAAAATGCGTGATCTACATCGACTTTGGTTAGTTATGATGTAAGATCAACACTCAATAAATTGATCAATCAGTCAATATTTCAAACAATCAATACATCAATCAAACAACACAACAATCAACATATGAATCAACATTTTCAATCAATGAATGTTTCAATCAGTCAACATTACAATCAATCAGTGCATCAATGTTTTCAATCACTCAATGTATTCCATCAATGTGTCAATTAAAATAAGCCCAATTATTGGCCACGGACCTGGAAGAAAACAGAATCCGGGGCAGGCTTAAGCAAAATTCGGCAAGGTGCCGATGACAACACTGCAGATATGTCGTTGTAAAGCCATGACGCTTTGGTATGGGTGTGACAATTGTTTCCATGGTAAGCACTTTCTTGACAATAATAATCTGAAAAATACATAAAAAGAACAGCAGAAACACGAGGAAAAGAATAAAATGGATACGCTTTACAGTTTAGGGGTGGGGAGGGATGGGTTGAATTTTTTGTTGAGATGAAATTCCAGAAAGAATTTGCGATTGGCGCGCGCGTAATATATATGTGCATTAACAAGGGATGGTATCAAAACTTGATAATTGTAAAGGGTAGTATCAAAGGTCGGTAATGATAATGTTGTAAGGGTTATGCTTCTTAGACTACGTTACAAGAAGTTGATCTACTCATTTCCATAATATTACTTAACTCATATTGAGTTATATATGTAATGTATATCAAACATGCATTTGCCGTTTTGATTTTTATGCATTGCATCATAATTATTCAAAATTTATATATCCTTTCCAGTTTTCAGTAAAATTCCTAGTTTTGGTAGGATTGTTAGATTTATTGCATGTTCCAAAACTGCTTTATCGGAGATGTCTACAGGCCTACATGTTCATGACGTGTTCCAAAACTTTGCTATCGGAGATGTGTACATGCCGAAAGCCAGGCTAGAAAATCACCCAAGTGTAAAAAAGGCATCAGGGTTTATATAGTCGGTAAAATAAGTGAGCGAATCTGAAAGAAATATGGCGGAAAAGGGAGTGCGGGAATGAAACAGGTCGTACAAGGATGAAAATATCACATTTTGAAGAGTTCATGTCAGCTTTAAGTTTTAAAAACCCAAGATATATAGAATGCTAAAATTCTCTAGACTATAAGTAGTTTCTCATTATAGTTGTTTTGAACATATTTTATTGACAATATGTCAAAGGGGTTGAACACAAGTTCTAAAGATTTAGATAGTCCTCTCCCATTGGTTTTTTTTTTTTTTTTTTATAAATGTATTTATCCAAGGTTTGAATAACACGTGTTCGTGTTTATTTATATCTGTAATCTATTGGCTGTAATACTGGTCACCTTGTCAGGTGACATTTAAATATTCAACTCACCGCTGTTAGCGGCGAAAGTTCTATAGCCATTCGAAGGCCCTTTTCAGTTTAGATAATTGAATCCCCACCCCTCCCGCCCTTGCTTTACATGTTTAATAAGATTTTATATTAAAAATACTGTTTTCTTTTGTAGAAAGGAAGACAAAGAAGAAATGTATATGACATTTGTACATATATGTGTATAAAGTAAACTGCACTATCAGAGCGCTTCACATCCTAACATACGTGTTTGTGTTTATTTTATAAATTATTTATGTTTGTTTGAGTGGCACGAATAAGAACATAACAAGAACTTTACTCATGGTTATAACTTAAAATTAGCAATTCAAAGATTTCCAGTGAGGAGGAATTCGGTGCAAACTTTGTAAAATGTTAAATTACAAAAAAAAATTAATTAAAAGTTAAAAAGCTTATTATATTTCTTTACAGAGATTTCCCCCATATTAGCTGGGGGGGGGGGGGGGTGTCCCTCAATCCGCCACTTATGGCATTTAACATATTGCTTGAAAACATAGGGAAAATACTAAGTACATGTTTCAAATACCTTTTATAAAGATTAATTTGCTGCAAAAACTGCTAGGATGAAAATGTCCACTGTTAGACAGAAAACGTATCTTAGCCTCAGCGACTTACTGAAATGTCATAATACCGATTATGACATCAGAGTCAATGTCGAAATAGGCAACAAATGTCGAAACATTGTTGACTTGACGTTGTTAGATGAAGAAAATGGATTTTGTGAGTATAACACTATATACTAAAACTATTTTAAGGAACCCTCGGGTGAATATATATGCAATATTATAAATTAGGTTTACCACTACTTGCATATCATTTTCTTTTCTTTTTTTCATACTTTTACTGCACTGTTGTTTTAACAAAACTTAATACGAACCAACCCCATTATGTACGCAAGACCTAGCTGTCGACATTGTTAATGCACACGAAGTAAAATCGATGTCTACGTTATTTTTTTTCCCTAAGATATTATCATTTATATTGATATATGCATGAAAATAATCGATATGCAAAAATAGTTTAGTGAAAACAGGGTTTTTTTTTCAAAAACTATAATTTCGTGTTATAAAATTACTATTATAACGTCACAATAACAATTATGACGTCATAAACAATGACCAGATAGCAACGAATGTCGGAAGATTGTTGACTTGTCAATATTAGTGAAAATGAAAATGGATTATGTAAGTAATTTATCATTTAAAAAGATATCAAAATTCTTACTTGATAGTAGTTTGTGATGACATTTTATTTCTCTCGTTTACTTCTATCTAGGATTTTGAAGTAAAGTTGCACCGAACCAAGTACTTCCTTAAAATGGCACGGTACATTTAGCACTGTAGTGTACCAAAGTATTTATTGTTCTCTCCACTGTAATTTTATATTTTGTTTGTCACTTTACATTTTTTGGAATAGAATTTCCGAATCAGTTTTCTTAAATGAGGAATATTTCCTTAGTACTTTTACTCTAGACCCCCCCCCCCCCCCCCGGAAAATAATACACAAGGTTTAACTAATATTTTTTCAGAAAATAATACATAAGGTTTAACTAATAATTTTTCAGAAAATAATACATAAGGTTTAACTAATAATTTTTCAGCAATTGGCTATTTTTGCGGAATTTTTCAGTCCGGTAGATATCATTTTAAAAAATTATATGGTATTCAAGCTTTATGACTTATCTTCTGTAACTAAAATTTCTTTCATAAAATTGAATATTGAAATAAGCATAATGTAGATTTAAACGAATTTCCGCTTGTTTATTTAAAAAAAAAATGGGCATTGACTCAAACATTTCAAATGATGGTAGATCTAAAAAAAAATCTCATCAGTAGTTTTTGACTTGCTTTTGTAGACGGAAATCTTGGATTTCGGCGATGAGCCTGTGAAGGACGTAGTAAGTAAAAATCTTTGTCATTCATGTCAGTCCCGAACTTCGTATAATTTAAATAAATAACAAATTACTAAGTAAGGAAAGAGGTCAGAGAAAACCTGTTGAGAAAATGAAACGACGTTAAATGCATTATTTGCCCCAGTTCTCATTCCCTTAGCTTTCCAATTTCAGCGTTTTGATAAAAATATTGTTTAATGTTTTAAATAATGCTAAGGTATTTTGATGTCATTAATCTCATCGATAAAATGTTTTACTTTTAGGAGTCCAAATTGAAAATTCTCAAATTTGAATACAAATGGGCGGACGCCGTGGAAGAAGAAGAAAAACTGAAGGTACGATATGAACACATTTACAATGTACATGTAATTAAATAAATAATCCTGTAAACTTCCTCTCCTTGCTTTCTTGTATACTCATGTTCATCATTATTTGTTATAAAAGGGTAATAAAAATGATATGGCATAACATGGTTTCGATTCCAAAGAAATATTATTTTGGAATCATATGTCTGACCGTCCTCTCCGCTATATTTCCGAACAGTGATTTTGCAATAGAGAAACATTAAGAATCCCATGTTTGGCACAAAATAAGTTGCGTACATGTAGGATCAGAGAGTGACTCTTTAATTAGGGCGAAATGCCTCTGAGATCTGAGAGTAAATTCTTGTCCTGGTTAAAAATTTTAATAAGAAAAACAGACGGTTTGTTTTACTTGACAGAAAAATAAATTTTGACGGGGAATGTATAATTAAGCTAGTTTCATTCAATTCATTCAAGCAACAATTAGCCATAGACGGGGGGTGGGGGTGGGGGGTCTGCTCTCGCAATTTCAAAATGCTCTGTCTATTGAAATAATATATATCTACATCACTACACATACTGAAATATATTTACATTTATATATATTTCATACATTATTTCCATCCTAATCATTAATAAATGATTGTATACACATTTCAGGGAAAAGTAGAGCCTTCAGAAGCAGGAGTTTATATAGGCTGGGAGGAGTACAGTAAGCCCGTCGAACCAACTTCGTTCCGAGTGGAATATTCTGAGGTAACAAAGAATGAATTTAAACTTTCATGGCGTGATATTATAAACAATGCACTACTAAATTTCATATTGAGAAGCTATTAGTATTCGGCATTCAATTTGGTTTTAGGAACGACGTCGTAACAAAACAAGCCGTTCAGAAGACAGTTTGTTTTCTAAGAGGAATCCGGCTCCTTTGGTTTCTTACAACAACAGGAGTCCAACAAACACAAGAGGATCGGAATACTCGCGACCAAGATCCAGAAATAGGAGAAACAGTACATATGGCACAAATCCCAGGAGAAATGGCAGATATAAGGAAGATACTGCTCCCTTTCGCTACAGAAAAGATGATTATTCGAACACTCCTCCACACAAGGTATGATATTAATGCATTTTTATTCAATGCAATCATACTGCCTTTAGATATGATGTACCTTGTTAGTGTTTTCCGTTGAATTTGAAGAAAATAAATACAGTTTATGTAAATTATCTTTATTTTTCTCACAGGGTGAAACATTCATTTCCAACAAAAATGAAATCAAGGGTTCTAATAGAAGAGAAGTGGTTAACCTCCAAAGTTTTCGAAATGAGCAATCCAGAAATATCAACGATATCAACAACAATGTCAGACCCTTCTTCAAAGACCCCTTTGATATCCCCAGAAGGAAAGTCACCTACATTGATCCAAATAAAGACAGCAGTAAGAGAAAGGATACATGTGATGTTGTGGGAAAACCAGGTAACAGTGATGATAAGATTCTCCCCCGTACAATGGGAAACAAGAACGACAGCCGTAGATCTGACGCATTTTGGAACTCCAACTACAATCTAAAAGATGAAGTTTCTCATAGTATAGTAAACAACAAGCTTGGTCATTTTAAGAGGAGCGATAATCATAGTCCTCATAACCATGTCGGTTACATTCAAGGGGAGACTATTAACACGCAAAAAGACATTAGCCGTCTTACGGTAGGAAAAACGGAAAGTCTTGAAAAAAATTACAGGCATGATTTGAAAAGAACTAATGAGAATCCTAAAGATGGTTATGCTCATCATGATTTGGATATCACAGAAAACAGCGTCAAAAGCCACGATCGTTACGTTGAAGACACCACAGCTAGCAGTATCATAAACAAGGTTTCTAATGATGTGGATATCACAGCCAACAGTTTCAATAGCCAAGCTTGTAATGATTTGGTCACCACAGACAACAATACCAAAAGCAAGGATTGTAATGATTTGGTCACCACACACAACGATACCAAAAGTAAGGATTGTAATGATTTGGTCACCATAGACAACGATACCAAAAGTAAGGATTGTAATGATTTGGTCATCACAGACAACGATACCAAAAGTAAGGATTGTAATGATTTGTTCACCACAGACAACGATACCAAAAGCAAGGATTGTAATGATTTGGTCACCATAGACAACGATACCAAAAGCAAGGATTGTAATAAGTTGGTCACCACAGACAACGATACCAAAAGTAAGGATTGTAATGAGTTGGTCACCACAGACAACGATACCAAAAGCAAAGATAATAGTGATTTGGTCACCAGAGACAACGATACCAAATGCAAGAATTGTAATGATTTGGTCACCACAGACAACAATACCAACAGTAATGATAGTAATAATTTGGTCACCACAGACAACGATACCAAAAGCAAGAATTACAACGTTTTGCACTTCACAGACAACAGTTACAAAAGCCAGCTGGATTATAAAGTTGTGATCACTACAGACAATTATGTCAAAAGCAAGGAATGGAATGATGTGGACCCCACAGACACCTATGATTTTAATGATGTGGACATTGCAGACAAAAATGTCAAAAGCCAAGATAGTTTGAACATCACAGACACCAGTGTCAAAAGCAAGGAATATAATATTGTAGTCACCACAGAGAACAATGCCAAAAGCAATGATTGTAATGTTGTGCACACCACAGACACCGGTGTCAGAAGCCAAGATTTTATAGTTGTTGATACCACAGATAACAGTTTCAAAAGCCCAGATTGCAAAGAGAAAAGCATAGACAACAGTGCTAAAATTCATGATTGCAATGTTGTGGATATCACAACCGAAAGTGATAAAAGCCAGGATTGTAACATTGTGGTTACAATCGACAACAGTTTCAAAATCCAGGATTTTAACATTGGCTACACCACAGACAACAGTGTCAAGTACCCGGATTGTAATATTGAAGACGGATATGTATCAAAAGAAATCAGCCAAGTTTCTGCAAAGAAAATTCCTTTGTATGTAAGTGAGAATTTTCTTATAGAACAAACAGACAAGCGGGTGTATATTTATGATGAAAGAACTGGATTGGACATTGGAGAAATCCATGCCCAGTATATTCCCTGTATTCTGAAAGAGGAAAGAAGAAACCCCCAGAGTTTTGCAGTGACGACAAATACACAAGATTCAAAAAGCGGTAGTGCAGCTGCACACCGAATTATAAAGGTTTGTAAGTTAATGATTTTGTTTAAAATTTGATTCCATATTATACATAACCTGTACAGCTAGGGAACAGTTGTCCAGTTTATTTACTTAATATTCTAACCTTTGCTTCTTTGTAGAATTCCAAAGACGATAAATACTCGTTAGAAGCAAAGGGTGGAACAGCTACTTCTGTATTTCCACTAAAAACGTAAGAATAATTTGATACTAGTATTAATAAAACTACAGATTTTGTCATTTCTTCTGAAGACCTTATGATCTACAAAAAAATTATAATTCTTTTTTTTTTCTGTAGGAATATTCCGTGGAAGAATGGTATGGAGATTATCGATAGCGAGATTAGTTTTTTGTCATCAGAGGTACGAGAATGAGGATTTTATACTTTGATTGTGACTTGACATTTAACGCTGATAATAGAATAATTTACTGGAATTTATATATTTTTTTAAAAAAAATGTCTTATTTTATCTTTATTTACATAATCAGCAACTTTGATTTTTTTAATGTCTCAATTATTTTTTTTTCGAAATAGATAATTGACCTAGAAGAGCCTCATTCAAAAGGAACCAAGTCAAAAACTGATTTCCTGAGGATTCTCAGTGAACCAGACGAAGATGCTCCTATTGTGACCAATGGTAGATCATCTTTCTGGCAATTATTTCTGTGTGGATCGTCGTGTTTATCAGTGAGTACATAACTTGAATAATTAAAAGTTTAGTTCTACCCCTTAAGACATTTTTTTAAATGAAATAATTATATTATTTTAATTCATTTTCAGAAAAAGAAGTCTCGTAAAAAAGAATCAGAAATTATACAGAGAATACGGCAGTTTTTCCGAGGAAATAAATCAAGAAATAAAAAAGAATAATTTAAAGATATAAGGGAATATATTTTATAATAAATGATAAATCTTATCAAATTTTCTCAATGTGTTTTTTTATGATTTTTTTTTTTAAAGGGACCGTACGAATATGGTAAAAAAAAAAAATGCTCTACTCATTTGAGTGGGCTATTGGTACGTTGCGGTATGGAACAGAACCAGTTATGGGGTACCCTTGTGTACGGAAGCGTATATAGGTCTCTACACTTGTTGTGTGTGGAAGGGTAAAAATGAATCTAAAAATGTTACTTTATTATAATACATTCGGTAATCTAATAACATAAATTACTCCAGCAGTGACAAGTAGAGTGTCGTACAATGAAATGTCTAAAAGCAAATTTAAATATACATTTACATCCACTAAATATTATCTCAGTCTTTTATTTTTTGTAAAAGCTTACTCGTTTATCAACACTTTAACGCCGCTAAGCAAGACACCTGTATAGATTTCTTGAGCAGCAGCTCTTCCACCAATGAAACATACACTGACGTACATATAATTATAATGATACAATATTTTACGTACTTAATCCTACTTTATATTATTATTTGACTTCAATATCTGAGTGAAAAGTTGATAAAAATCACTATACCAAGAACATGTATACATTTAATTATTTAGAAAGGTTTATCTTTAATTCGTTCTTTTTGAAACTTTTGTAAAATAAAATCTGCATAACATATTTCTTTCTGGTCTAGGAAACTGTCCTAGAATGTTTTACAGTAAAGAACAAGATACGGTTTCAATACAAATCTGGCTCTGTATTTTTCTAAAATATGAAAGTGATGTAAGAGATTAAAACTCGTGCTTTTTGAATCATTGAAATTCCATGCAGTAAGATCATACAAATGGTTAGAAAATATTGTTTTGATTTATTTCATTCCACATTAGTGATTAAAAAACATATACATGCGTAGCAGGAAACACATAAATCAAAATTTGATTTCATTTTTATACTATTGAAACTATGGGCATGCGGGACGAATTATTCCTTAATATTCTTTAATTAATTAGATAACTGATCTTGAGTACGTTTTCCTTGACATGCAAGTTATAAATCCTTTAAGAGAATCTGGTTTTAATATGTTATAAATTTACTTACTAATGCCAGTATCTGACATCATACATGCAACATAATTCTGTTGACATGCAACTTATTTACAGCGTGTATGTAGAGATACGACTTATTTCTGTTGACATGCAACTTATGTATGTCAACATGCAAGTTAATTATGTTAACATGCAAAATATTTATTTTATATGTTATACCATTAAAAAGTGTTTCCTGCATAATTCTCTTCTAAAAAAGTCTAACATTTCCATTGTTTTACTGAGCGGTCACAAAAAATCGATGTTTGACAGCAGAGCGAGATATTGGACCTGTCGATGAGATTTTGGACCGCTAACGTCACAGTATGGGTGGGGTCAGCTGTATCGAGATATTGGACCTGTCGATGAGATGTTGGACCGCTTACGTCACAGTGTGGGTGGGGTCAGCTGTATTTTATTTGCATTCGTTGGAGTACGACAGTACTTTACGGAATTGACAAAGTTAAAACCGCAGTGCGGGTAAACAAAATTTACATCATGTTATGTCAAAATAAAAAGTAAAAGGTGTAACAAAACATCTATTGACTGTGTTCTCGGGCAAAATGCGTTTTGTCGACCCCTCGAACCAAACTGTTTGCTTTCGGCCTAACGGCCTCGGGCAAACAGTTTGGTTCTTGGGTCCGACTAAACGCATGTTTCCCTCGAACCCAGTCAATAAATGTATAATGTCGCATGGCAACATAATTAGCTTGCATGTTGACATATACAAGTCGCATGTCAACATAATTATCTTTATTGGTAACATATTATCTTGCATGTTGACATATTTTTCTTGCATGTTGACATAATTTATCTTGCATGTAGGGGCAGAAATATGCCACCATCATGGCCGTAGGAACCGGGGGGGGGGGGGGGACGTGCTCCCCCCCCCCCCCAATAATTTTGCCGATATACGAGGGCTGTTAGGAAATTATTGAGACATTGTGTATATTCTTCTTTCTAATGAACTTTTTTCGGTGAAAATTTGAATATACGTTTGACAAACTCTAAGAAGTAATAAAAACAAGAAATATTTTTAAAATATTTTATTTCATCTTTTCAATGGAATATAAATGTGTCAATGGTAGGGGTACCCGGCGCAGTCACGAAATCGGATATTGAAAATATGTAACACCAACGTTAAAACTCCCAGTGGACCCATAGTAAGAGCGAAAATAATTCAAATTATGTATATAATTTTTTGATTTAACTTTGACTTCATTTTGTGCAAGTTTGTTAGAATTTCGATCAGAAATACGGAGATCATTAAAAAAAAAAATTACGCGCGGTATAGCAATCTGATAACGACGACAAAACGGAGTTTGACGTCAAGGCGGAGCAGCGATCATACCTAAAATTTTGTGTAGCGGTATTGAGAACTCTTGTCCAGACTAAACGACCTGCTAAAACAATAACAATGAAATAAAACATGTCTAAGGGTTTATTTTTTCATTGGTATATATCAATTTCTTACAAATAATTCAACCAGAGTAAAAATAAAAGCCCCGGACGACCATCAATTATTACTGACTAAATAACGTTGAACCGCATTGCATAACTCGGTACTGCATGATGCGAAGTCAACCTGTATTTGACACTTCGTGTATATTTTACTCTGGGGTAACAACAGCACTGTTTTTATTTTTTTTAAAATTTTTTTAAAGAATCGATTAAGAATTATAAGACACAGTTTGATTTTTGAAATGTTACATGTAATGGCAGAGAAAGTAGATTGAATGCTTCCTGGTCATTTCACAATGAGAATATATCGGCTGACCTGACGTTAAAATGACGTAGCGATGCTGCTCCAGGTCAACAGACATATGCTTGTTTATAATTTCACCGGAACTTATTTAATTATTACGGAAGCCGGTAGGTGCCAGGTAGAAAAATATTTTATCTGGCGGCCGCCAGATAAGTTTCTGGCGGCCGCCAAATAATTATCTGGCGGCCGCCAGATAACTTTCTGGCGGCCGTCAGATAAATATTTGGCGGCCGCCAAATAACTTTCTGGCGGCCGCCAGATAACTTATCTGGCGGCCGCCATATAATTTCTGGCGGCCGCCAGATAATTATTTGGCGGCCGCCAGATAACTTTCTGGCGGCCGCCAGATAAGTTATCTGGCGGCCGCCAGATCTTTTTATCTGGCGGCCGCCAGAAAATTATTTGGCGGCCGCCAGATAAGTTTCTGGCGGCCGCCAGATAATTATTTGGCGGCCGCCAGATAAAATATTTTTTCTATCTGGCACCAACCGGCTTCCGTAAATTATCCTATAAATTAGAAATTTTATACATTTGTTTTATTTGTTCTTTAAAAAACGTTGACGAATTTTTATGAATTTATCTCTGTTCTTTGTGGAGTAAAAGTATTTGTCTCAATAATTTTCGAACAGCCCTCGTAGTTTACTATAGTAAACATAGATGCTATATGCTTGTGTTCCCTCAACAGAAACGTCTGATGACCTTTTTTGTTCTTATTATTATTATTATTATTTTTTTTTTTTTGCTTGTCAGGAAATTTTTGGTAGTGCCTCCTCTACTGTCAACTGAAAAATGAATGGCTGTGCCCCCCAAACTGAAATTGCTTCCTATGGCCCTGACCATAGATTTCGACACTTGCCATCCCTTTTCCTGAAGGTGAAACTTAGAATTGGAAGGCGATCATCATACTACAGTACAGCAAGATTTACACGCTGAGGTTCAAACATGCAGACGGGCCTAAATTTTCAGCTACAACTCGCTTTTTGTAAATTAAAAACAACAACAAATACAGGCAATTATTAAGAGATAGTAAGATTCTCTGTGTGTAGAAAATGTGTCTCGTATCAGACAGCCACAATCTTGCCAAATCCCCCTAAATATAAATCATATATCAGTATAAAGCTATTTCTGTTTTTATGAGGATATTCTTGGATTTTCGTGGTATTGCTAGGCAAAAATAATGTGGATACTTTCTGCAGGAAGCCGGGGCCGCATTAAGCGTCCCCCTTTCACAGCGGGTCCATTTAAGGGATGTAACATTGTCTTGGATTGTCAGTGTGAAGATAACAAAAGAAATAACGTTTAATAATGAAACATTTTTTTTCAATACGTTAAGTCTTCAAAGAATTATTCATTTATTTATTTTTTCCTTTATATATTTATTACTTATTATTGTTATTGGGAAAAAATAATTTGGATGCAGTCACGCCACTGGATTTTTAATGTTCTTTTTGATTGCATTGAAGTGATCATTCAGAAATGTATCTCTTTAATTTACAATTTCCACAAGTACAAACCCTTGTACTTAACACTTCATTACACGCAGTATAGTACAAAACATATTTTGTCACGTCATGAAATGTTATACTGCACTAGATGTACATGTATATTCACAAAATGGTTTCCGGAAGAGTTATTAATTCCGCCCTCTTAAGTTGTTCTGTATTGAGACTGTCACATGAACCAGACAGTAAGTGGTGTCCTTCGGAGAGTGTTCTTCAACAATATTAAGGTTTCTGTCAATAATCTGTGCAACACACACCATATTTAATAGCTTCCGAATCGTGTCTATCGCAAAATGAAGATTCACGAACAGGTCATCGTTTTAGTTCTGGTTTTAGCACTTGCAGGCGATTTAATGTGTTTTATCAACACTGCATGGAGCGGATATGAAACAGTGTCCCAGAATTCAGCATTTCTTATCCCAGGTGCGGACGGTATTGTAAAGAAGGCTGTAAAACAATTGTCAAAAGCTGCAAAAAAGGCTGTGAAAAAAGCTGCCAAAAAAGCCGCCAAACGCCTTAAAAGAATCCAGGACGAGTTGTAGTGCAAAAATGTGAGCACGAGAAAACAAACGGAAAAGTAAGGAGAAACGCCAGCCCACAAAAAAGTCAGAATATTGGGGAACCAAAACCAGAACGGAGAAAGACCAAACCCGGGGACTGAAAAAAGATCAGCGCAATGATACTAACAGTCTATACTTATATTAATGCAAAAAAAGAAAAATGTGGAGAAATACATAATTAAGTGAAACCCCTGAGGATTATTCACCTGCAGACTTATGGAAAATTCTTACTCCGTATTCTATGATAGTGTTCTTCTGATAGCCGGTCTTTTCTTTCCTATAGAAGATAGAAAATGGACTGAAATCGAAATTTAAATGTATTTATAGTTTTTGACCATTTGACTATTCCAATATGTGAGGGAAGTTAAAAAATATGGTTTATGTATGTTATAAAATGACTTAACTGAAATCGACACGCTCATTGAGATAGCATATATTGCACAGGCCCGTAGGAAGGGGTGGGGGCATAATTTTGCCGATATGATAATATATATATGTTTCTGTGAACGGCGTTCTGTTCATACTTGCGCACTTTTCTCGTCGCCAAACTGCATTTTTTAAGTATGATGTTATGTTCTAAATTTTGTAATAATTATTAGGCACCATATCCGAAAGTGCAACACTTAGATGTTTCGCTTTTGCAGATAACCCTATCGGAATTTTTAATCTATGGAACACTAGTCTTGCAAAAGAAATCATAAAATGTACGAGAAATCTTGAGCAGTAGGCATAAGTAAATAAATAGTAAAACAGCTTCCCTGCCTCAAGGTCTCATCCAGCTAGATTTGTTATCTTTATCCAAGCCCACTTTCTTGCTCTTAAATTTTAGTTGAACTTGACTTTAAAAAAATCACAATCAAAGTATCATTCAATAACAACTTCTATGTCAGGAGGAATAAATATCAACCCTGCACAACTGGAGCTTTCAGATTTATTAGGATATATCAAAATACAATTTGTTATGATGTTATAGTTAAGCATACAGAAATGAAATGCATTAGATACTGCTCCAAGATGGTGTTACAACAACCACTACAAATTCTACACCAAAGTCTTCATGACAGAAATCATTAAGACAAGAGAATCAATTTATACACAAATACTCATGATATGTAAGTACATCGAAAAAATAGTGCTTGTACATGTATGTATGTAAAGTTAAAAATTCTAAGTGTAGAAGATTCAATCTCCTAATCACTGAATAGTTGTTTAATATACTGGTTGACACAGTACCATATACTGTATAACAAAAATTTGCAACGATTCAATTGTATAATCTCCAATAAATATAAAATTATATATCAAATATTTTTCTCTATCTGTAAAATAGCACTTTTGAAGTGACAGTATATTATCTTTATAATTCATTTTTTTTTCTCCTTTATCTTTTACTTTGATGTCTTTTTTCAAAAAAAAAAAAAAAAAAAATTAAAAAAATTAAAATTCACCACTGACTAACCACAAATATAAGTAACTCTGTTGACACAGTAATACTACAGTAACAAATAGATATGACCTATGTACAAAGTAAATGACAAATAAATGAATTCAAATTGAAAATTCTTATTAACCTATAGAATAAGTCTGCATCATTTTCTACTGAAAAGAAAAGCATGACAAGAGTAAAATCTCTCATAATTTGATCATCTAGAACTACTGCTGGATAAAGATGTTGCCACACGTCACAAGAGATTGCACACCAATTCATTTCTTGAGAGTTCGACATGTGTACTTCCTAAATGAATTTTACAATAACAGTCTATCAACAATTTTTTTTTTTTTTACAGTTATTTCATTATCCTTTAAATAAAATGGTTTTGGGGCAACATTATCAAACTGAACATGCAGTATATCCTTTTCATAAAAAAGAAATCTTGCAATAACATGAAATGCTGATGATTTAAATAAGTGAACAACATTAGCTACCTAAACTTTTACACCACAAACAACAGTGCAGTAAGTCCACAGATCTAATCAACAACAGTAGTATTGGATCTACAACAATCTAGAGATGATAATGTCAAATGATAATTAACATAACATCCAGTTCTCCTTTACACAGATTTTGTTGATGACCAACTAGTATACAGAACAGACATTAACATAGTCCCAGGTACAAAACTTGTGTCAATCTTCCCAGTCTATCACTGTTGTAAAAATTATACATTTAAATGTCCATATTGTTGTCTACCACTGTTGTGAATTATACATGTTTATACCTGATAAGTGTGAGCATATAATGTTAAATTTTGTGTATGGACACCAAACAACATCCTGTGCACTTGTTCTGCGGTAGTACCAAGTTGACGGTGATGTGTGCGTTATCTGGGACTGGCCTGGGTAAACTGTACCAGATACTTCAGACACACCTGTCTATGGTCCTCTACTATGTACTCATTGTACTCAGGTCTGAAGTAGAAACTAGGCCTCTCGTTCTTCTTCTCACTCACCATACCAAGAGGGATGCTGTAACCTGAAAATTAAGGAAAGAAAAAATCATGACCTTGTTCTGCAAGATTTGTTTTTTTGCTTATGCATCTAAAATGCTTATGCATGAAAGTGCATTTTAGGCAAAAGAACAGATTTCCTCATAAAGATCTTAATACCATCATCTACCAAAATTTATAATGTCCCTTGTTTTGAATTCAACAACTCTTTTTCCTGTAATAATTTATAATCTTTTCTCTAAAGTTTTGATTATAGTTTACCCCATCACTGAAATAATCAAAATAAAATACAAAAAAAATTCCAGCTGTATACAATTTCATCTTCTAAATCCAGAGACAAATAATCAGAAAGCTTTACCATGTTCCTGAGAAACTGTCTATGGACAATTTTGCTCAAAACAGAGTCATCTGGATTAATTAACATGGTTTCAACGATTTTGTTTTTTGTTTTGTTTTTTTAAAGAAATCTACAATGCACTAACCTCCTGGCATGGCCACTGTAAAGTCTTCATCTGGTTGCTTACTTCCATCTACAAAACGACTTTTAAAGTCTGTATCCTTCAACTCGCTATCAAAAAAGCTGGTATCTTGTTTCTTCGTCTGCGATTTTCCAAGAGCTACCTTTTAAGGAATCAAAAAAATATCAATAAGTAGATGTTTCAGGGTATGAAATGTATGATTATGTAGAAAACCATGGTCCGCAATATATGTACTTGAGAACTTCATATCAGGGCTATTCCAGGAAAAAATGTATGGGAGGGTTGGAAGGCACTTAATATATTCTTTTATGGGTAGTGGGGGCTAGAGCAATAAAATTTGTATAGGTGGTTGTCCTCACTCAATATATTTTTAGATGGGTGGTTGTATTTACCTTCACAAATACATGTACATGTAGCTAGGAGGGGTGGTGAAGGTAATTAGAAATGTATGGGTGGTGGGGTAAAAATAAAAGTGCCTCCCAACCCCCCAACCCTTTATATTTTTTCCTGGAATTTGACTTTAAAATAAATATTTATCTGAATCTTTACTATTTACAGTCATTTTCTCAAAGAAGTCCTTTTAACTTTTTTCATGTGACAATCAAATGCAGATGTGATATAACAGTTCATCACAAATCACAAATAAATTTGATTGAGAAATTAAAAAAAATGCAGAAATCTGAAACCAATTTAAGTGGTGAGATAAAGTCTTGTCATACATGTTTTTTTTTTTTCATGCACATGAAATAAATAACATGTGTGCAAATAAAATATTTTTTTTAAATGAAAACAAATATTATTCAATTTGCAAGTACTTATGCAAGTCAGGGGATTTAAATCATAGCCCCCCCCCCCCCCCAACACCCCTGAATTAAGAGAATAACTTTAAATCATTTGAAATATTTCAGACTTTTCCCCTTTCTTTTTCCTATATCAGACACTTTATAAATTATCATCATCATCTCTTAAACAATATAATAAATCAAGTGCAAATCAAGTATTAAACTGTAAAATTTCAGCTTGACAAATGCAGATATTTTTCTCTTACTCATGTAGCCCCAACACAGAATAAATATTACATATACAGACAAGATCAGAAAACTGTGTGAATCCACAAAACCAGAGTCAGTATACACAGTGTTTGAACCACAACTGTACTGACTCTGGGTGAAGAATCCACCTAACACACCCTGCCAACGAGTGTGTATATCTATCTATGATGATATAAAACCATTACAGTTCAACCTCCGACTGCATGGGGAACATCATCAATACTTATCGTGTTGATTAAGATGGAATATTTTAAAGTGGTTCTTTATGAGATGATGAGGTGCACTAAGGTATTCAACTTAACTATAAAGACTATATTCTGTAATAGCAAAACACCAACCAAATCTTTATTTATGACCTAAACCTGGAAAATATTTACAGACCACAAAGCATTAAATCACTTCATAATCTATGATGTCATAAATAAGATATGATGTCAAGAAAATTGCACATATTCAAAATTTCAGTGAATTTGAAAGAGGAATTGTTGGTTATGTTCAAATCATTGTTTATTATTATATATATGCACTATCAGAGTACTGCAGATAGGCTAGGCATGGGTAATTTCCCCTTTTGGTACCCCTTAATGTATTCTTTATTTTTAGAAACCCTTGCTTTTAGTTTACTTTCAGCAGCAGTAGCCATTGTTTGTTATTAGATACCACGTTCCACCCGGCCAATCACCTTGAAAAATTGCCCATGGGAATTGTGAATACTATGTTTGAATTTGCGAAAGATTTAATTGTATTACATTCAGCAAAACAAATTATATAGGCATGATAAGAAATCTGTGTGAATCCACAAAACCAGAATCAGTATAAACAGTGTTTGAACCACAACTGTACTGACTCTGGGTGAAGAATTCACCTTACACACCCTCCAAAAAGTGTCTGTTTATTTACGATGATATAAAACCATTACAGTTCAACCTCTGACTGCATGGGGAACATCATCAATACTTAGTGTGCTGATTAAGATATAGTATTTTAAAGTGGTTCTTAATGAGATATGGTGCATATTAAGTATTCAACTTCACTATAAAAGGACTATATATATTGTAATAGCAAATATCCAACCCCAAAAACAAAGTCCGATGGCCAAATCTTTAATTATGATCTAAACTAGGAGATATTGAGACTTCAAAGCATTAAATCACTTCATAATCTATGATGTCATAAATCAGAAATGAAGTCAAGAAAATTACACATATTCAAAATTTCACAGAATTCGAAAAAAAGTGTATTTTACACCATTATTTTGATTATTCATGTCTACTGTGTATTATATTCAGTAAAATGAAATATACAGGCATGATAAGAAAACTGTGTGAATCTGCAAAGCCAGAGTCAGCATACACAGTGTTTGAACCACAACTGTACTGATCCACCTAACACACCCTGCCAGCAAGTGTGTTTATCTACAGTGACATTACAGTTCAACCTCTGACTGCATGGGGAACATCAATACTTGGTGTGTTAATTAAGATGGAGTATTAAAAAGTTGATAAAGTACACATTGAATATTCAACCATAATAAAAAAAACTTTATTTTTATAGCCAATATCTGCCCCTCCCCCCTTTTCGAAAATAAAAAAAAAGTATGCTGAACAAATGTTTATGAAGTAAACCAAGGAGTTTTTTTTGAAATTCAAAGCATTGAATCATCTCATAAATTTTGATGTCATTAATTTGATATGATGTCATAAAAATTACATTAATTTAAAGTTTCAATGATTTTGAAAGAAAAATGTGTATGTTATGTCAATATTTTATTTATTCATGTGTAACTCAGTGTTTTCGCTTTATTTCAAAGAAAAGGGTTAGAGATCAATTGTAACAGCTAGGTTTGAGTTGAAGTTTATGACAATCTCTGTGGACCTTTCAACAACTAAAGAATTGATTTTTTTTTATTTTTAAGTGGCACTTTTTATCAACTGAAGCAGTCAATTTGGCTGGTAGCTGGTTCTTAGGGAAAACACAGTGTACTGTGTATTATATTCGGCACAATAAAACATACAGACATGGTAAGAAAACTGTGTGAATCCGCAAAACCAGAGTCAGTATACACAGTGTTTGAACCACAACTGTACTGACTCTGGGTGAAGAATCCACCTAACACACCCTGCCAACGAGTGTGTATATCTATCTATGATGATATAAAACCATTACAGTTCAACCTCTGACTGCATGGGGAACATCATCAACTTAGAACACGAACTGTGCTAACACTAGTCTCTATACATGGATGTATAAACCTTAATCAAGAAAACAAGATGTGTAACACTGATGCCCCGTATGGCAGCTTATGGCAAAAGTTAAAGTTTCTCAAATGCAAGTCAAACTCCAAGGTCAAGAGATCAAAAATGTTGTTACCCAAATAAAGGACTTATCTGGTAAATATACCTGGTTAATATAAAAGCCCAAGCACCAACCATTCAAAATTTATGGTCAAAGTTAATGTTTTCTAAAAGTGGGTCAATCTCCAAGGTCAAGATCAAGAGATCTAAAATGTTGTTACCCAAAGAAAGGACTTGTGTCAATGAATATCCCTGGTAAATATGAAAGTCCAAGCACAAACCATTTAAAAGTTATGGTCAAGGTAAATGTTTTCTGAAAGTGGGTCAAACTCCAAGGTCAAAGGGTCAAAATTAATGGTAGGCGGGGGAAGACCTTGTCATAAGAAATATACATGCAAAATATAAAAGCCCTGGCACCAACTGTTCGAAAGTTATGGCCAAGGCTTAAGTTTTTTAAAAGTAGGATACACTCAAAGGTCAAGGTCAAAAGGTAAAAATTGTTGGTATCCAAAGGAAGGGCTTGTCACAAGGAATATACCTGTGAATTTGAAAGCCCTTGTACTAAGTGCTTAAAAGTTATGGCCAAGGTTAAAGTTTTTTTTTTTAAAAGTGGGTCAAACTCTTAAGGTCAAGGTTGAAAAGTCAAAAATATTTATACCCATGAAAAGGTCTTGTCACAATAAATACACATGAAATATGAAAGCTCTAGCACCAACTGTTCAAAAGTTATGGCCAAAGTTAAAGTTGGGTAAATTTTTGCAAAAGTGGGTCAAACTCCAAGACCAAGAGGTCAAATATGTTGGTACCCAAAGGAAGTTCTTGTCACAAGGAATACACTTATGAAATATGAAAGCCATAGCTCCAACCAATCAAAAGTTATGGGCAATGTTAAAGTTTTTGCACACAAACAAACAGAAAGACAGGTAGACTTGGCAAAAACTATATACCCCCAAATATTCGATTACGGGGGCATAAATATGTCATTTAAACTACTCAACTAACAACTTATTACCAAAACCATTCATTCACTGTTGACAAATAGTAATATTATAATTACCTCACATAGTACAGCAAACTTTACATTAGAATCCTTGCTGATATTGTAGCAGTAATTCACACTTTTGGCAAATGCATCTGCAGAGTAAATTCCCTGAAAAATAATTCATGCAATGATGAACATTTATGACAACAATTACCTCTCTTGTCAAATGGATACCCAGGCATTCAGTTACTCAGTAGGACTTACTTCTCCAAATAAATGTCCAGTGATAGGAATTCCTGTGGGTGCCACCAGTAGGCCTCGGTGTAAAATACTTATAAAGTTTGCCGTGTTACTGCCATGCCAGAGCAACTTGTGGTTTTCAATGTTAAGATTTCTAATTTTCTCTTCCTCCCCTGGACGGCAGATTTTATAGATTGCTTGAATTTGAGTCTTGTGACCTGATTAAGGAATGTATTAATTTACACATCATCAAAGATTGTATATGTCAATGCAATTCTTAGTAATATAAATGAAAGGAAATTCAGAATATTCTTCCAATATCATATGTGATACATAAAAAACATCAAAATATTGATAATCATACCTACAATTCCAATATTTACAAAAAAATTGTTTATTACATTTTCAACAGTGAAATATTGTGATTTATTTATTGAATAAAAGTGATATTCTGTCACAGTGGGAAAGGATACTAGTGATTTTCTGTCACAGTAAGAAAGGATATCAAAGTAAGTAAAAATAATTTCTGGCCTGTTACAAAATATAATAACTAGACCATCTTAAAAGAGATTAAAACTACCAATTTCTTCCCAAATACAATGTATGTTGCTAAAATCCATGTTGCAATGTTTTCAGTCTCACAATATGCTAATTTATGACATCTCAACCACTCAACTATGATGTCAAGCCTATGATTAAGAAAAGACACAGGCAAATAAATTAAAGAAAATGTAATAAACAGAAAATTCAATGTTTTGTAGTTGGATATGGAATTTATTTCACTCATAAGACTGGATTTTTTTATATTTTCACTTGTGCTTTGCACTGGTGAAAATATAAAAAAAATCCTGTCCCACTTGTGAAATAAATTCCATACTCGTGAAATAAATTCCAAAACATATACAAAACATTGAATATCCTCTATATACACGGTTATTTTGCCTTTTCTTACTTGAAACAATATAATTTAGTTGTTAGAAGATAAATAACTCTGTTTAGCTCTACTACCCTACTTTGAATTCCCCTGATGATGAAAGGGGAAAAAAGGGGATTAAAGTTTCCCTGTATACAGTATTCAGTAGAAATACTCACATGAACTGTAAATGTACTTGAGTATATACTGAGCTTCAGCACTCTCTTCTTCTATTAGAGATATACCACATCCAATGGCTTGATACACATAGTCTAGAGGATTTATATCTGAGCAAACAAAAAAAAAAGAACTTAAAATTTAGAATACATGCGTGTCAATTTTAAAGAATTGAACAATATACTAATCTACAGTATCTGAGGATACTTTGATATAAATATGACTCATCACGACTTTGCTGTTCCTGGGAGGTAAAAATTAATTTTTTTTTTTTTTTTGGAAGGAAGGGGGGGGGGGGGGTTGTTGTTGTTGTTATTCTTACATAAAATTTTGATCGTCCATTGTGGCACCTACCTAAACCCTGTAAGTGTTTCCATGTGAATATGAATGATTATGGCTTTGCTGTTCTTGAAAAGAAGATTTTTACTATACATGTATATTTCTATGTAATTTCTATGTAAAACTTTCATTGCCCATAATGGCCTCATCCTACCCCTTTGGGTCATTATTTTAACAAACCTGAACATACAAAAACTGTGGATGCTTACATATAAATATGACTGATCATGGCTTTGCTGATCTTCATCATCTGATTATTTTTAAAGATCTCTCTTATGTATTCCTATTGAAAACTTTTGATTCCCAATGTAGCACCCCACAGGGGTCATGATTTGAACAAACTTAAATCTACACAAGCTGAGGATGCTTCCACATAAATATGATTAATCATGGCTTTCCTATTCTTGAGAAGAAGATTCATTGTATCTTAACATGCAGGTTACACATTGACAGACTTACCTTTTAATCTGGCCTGGGCCCCCATTAATATTTTACTGGCACACTCCAGCTCAAGTAAATGATGAATAACTTCTAACTTTTCTTTTAATTCATCGCCATCCATAATGGGACTGACTTTATCAAAAGCATAACCATTCATAGGAACCAGGTGGTAGTATTCATTTGAAAGTCTACCAATCTAGGATAAAACAACAGATTATATATATGTATGTCAAAAGTCCTATTTAAATTGTCTGTGTTTGGTAATTCTTTTATGAAAATTAAATTACGTAAAAAAAATTACTTCAATCCTCTCTTTCTCTTCCTCTTCCTGAGAACTGGACCCTAAACGTTCTTTTTCAGCTATTCTCTTCAGAGCCTCCCTATATAAACAAAAAGACATTTCAACAAAAGAAAAAAATAGCTTTTGTTTTACAGCAGATTCAAAGCATTCATTCATTGTTTGTATCAAATTCTACATACCCTATCTGCAGGAGAATCTTCTTTCCCTCTAGTAATGTTTCTTTCTTGATTTGACCAAAAGGCATAATCAAATCATCTAAACCAATCTTCTTTGTAGCAGCATTCAACATACTGACACTGGACTACAATTATCAAAGACATATTCATGTATAGCCTATCTCTGGAATCTCCTGTATCAAATATCAGTGATATGCTAAAGAGATCTGTAAGTCCCGGGTGCTTTTACATGTACATTATGCATTTTCATCTCAATCTAGTTTGAGATAGCAAAGTTTGACCATATATGCATCAATTCCAATGAAATCAGTCACCACTGTAGGTGTTCTTTTGATCTTCAAATACTATATAGATAAGTACAAGTTAATTCCAACAGCTAGGTTTTTCAAACCATTGCAGTTAGTCAATTTCTTAACTGGAATTGTAAAACAATTGATTCTTAATTAAAAAAATCAGTTCATGGTTTAATCACTTTCAAATCTTTTAGGGAACCAAATAACACATTATATGTCCATTCATTAGAACGTTTATGTTCTCAAGAGTTTCAGAAAACTCCTTAATAAGAGATTGAATAGGATTACCATCTCATTAAAAAGAAATTTATTTTCACCTCTTGAACACATGCAAGCTTACATGTATATGCTACAGTGGAAAGAAAAATTAAAACAAGAAGTCTGTGTGCCAATGTTCACTAGTAATATCCCTGCTCTGATGTGAATATAGGATCTCATAAATCCAACCATAAGGTATGGCTAAACAAAGAGTGTGCTAAAATTTCAAGTATCTGCAATTAGTAGTTGCTGAGAAAACTGCAACAGATATTTGGTACAGACAGACACACAGATAAATAGGAAGTTGGTGTAGAATTTGAACAAAAATGAATCCCACCATATGGTATGTCTAAAACAAGAGGCCCAAGGGCCACATCGCTCACCTGAGTAACTTTGGCCATGCTGTTCATTACCAGACTTCCCCCCTTGTAATACCTATTGTGGCCCCGCCCTACCCCCGGGGGTCATGATTTGAACAATTTAGAATCTACACTACCCCAGGATGCTTCCACATAAGTTTCAGTTTTTCTGGTCCAGTGGTTCTTGAGAAGATTTTTAAAGATTTTTCCTATATATTTCAATGTTTCCCTATTGTGGCCCCGCCCTACCCCCGGGGTCATGATTTGAACAATTTAGAATCTACACTATCCCAGGATGCTTCCACATAAGTTTCAGCTTTTTTGGCTCAGTGGTTCTTGAGAAGAAGATTTTTAAAGATTCTTCCTATATATTTCAATGTAAAACTTGTATTCCCTATTGTGGCCCCGCCCTATCCCCGGGGGGCACGATTTGAACAATTTAGAATCTACACTATCCCAGGATGCTTCCACATAAGTTTCAGCTTTTCTGGCTCAGTGGTTCTTGAGAAGAAGATTTTTAAAGATTTTTCCTATATATTTCAATGTAAAAATTGGATTCCCTATTGTGGCCCCGCCCTACCCCCGGGGTCATGATTTGAACAATTTAAAATCTACACTACCCCAGGATGCTTCCATATAAGTTTCGGCTTTTCTGGCTCTGTGGTTCTTGAGAAGAAGATTTTTAAAGATTTTTCCTATATATTTCAATGTAAAACTTATATTCCCTATTGTGGCCCCGCCCTATCCCCGGGGGTCACGATTTGAACAATTTAGAATCTACACTATGCCAGGATGCTTCCACATAAGTTTCAGCTTTTCTGGCTCAGTGGTTCTTGAGAAGAAGATTTTTAAAGATTTTTCCTATATATTTCAATGTAAAAATTGGATTCCCTATTGTGGCCCCGCCCTACCCCCGGGGTCATGATTTGAACAATTTAAAATCTACACTACCCCAGGATGCTTCCACGTAAGTTTCGGCTTTTCTGGCTCTGTGGTTCTTGAGAAGAAGATTTTTAAAGATTTTAAAGATTTTTCCTATATATTTCAATGCAAAACTTGTATTCCCTATTGTGGCCCCGCCCTACCCCCGGGGTCATGATTTGAACAATTTAAAATCTACACTACCCCAGGATGCTTCCACGTAAGTTTCGGCTTTTCTGGCTCTGTGGTTCTTGAGAAGAAGATTTTTAAAGATTTTTCCTATATATTTCAATGCAAAACTTGTATTCCCTATTGTGGCCCTGCCCTACCCCCGGGGGTCCTGATTTGAACAATTTAAAATCTACACTACCCCAGGATGCTTCCACATAAGTTTCAGTTTTTCTGGTCCAGTGGTTCTTGAGAAGATTTTTAAAGATTTTTCCTATATATTTCAATGTTTCCCTATTGTGGCCCCGCCCTACCCCCGGGGTCATGATTTGAACAATTTAGAATCTACACAATCCCAGGATGCTTCCACATAAGTTTCAGCTTTTTTGGCTCAGTGGTTCTTGAGAAGAAGATTTTTAAAGATTCTTCCTATATATTTCAATGTAAAACTTGTATTCCCTATTGTGGCCCCGCCCTATCCCTGGGGGGCACGATTTGAACAATTTAGAATCTACACTATCCCAGGATGCTTCCACATAAGTTTCAGCTTTTCTGGCTCAGTGGTTCTTGAGAAGAAGATTTTTAAAGATTTTTCCTATATATTTCAATGTAAAAATTGGATTCCCTATTGTGGCCCCGCCCTACCCCCGGGGTCATGATTTGAACAATTTAAAATCTACACTACCCCAGGATGCTTCCACGTAAGTTTCGGCTTTTCTGGCTCTGTGGTTCTTGAGAAGAAGATTTTTAAAGATTTTTCCTATATATTTCTATGTAAAACATTGATTCCACATTGTGGCCCCGCCCTACCCCCGGGGGTCATGATTTGAACAATTTAGAATCTACACTACCCCAGGATGCTTCCATATAAGTTTCAGCTTTACTGGCCCTGTGGTTCTTGAGAAGAAGATTTTTTAATGACCCCACCCTATTTTTGTCTTCTCTTGATTATCTCCCCTTCTGAGGGGACTTGGCCCTTCATTTTAACAATTTAAATTCCCCTTCACCCAAGGATGCTTTGTACCAAGTTTGGTCAAAATTGGCCCTGTGGTTCTTGAGAAGAAGTCAAAAATGTGAAAAGTTTACAGACGGACGGACAGACAGACAGACAGACGGACAGACAGACAGACGGACGGACGGACGACGGACAAAATGTGATCAGAAAAGCTCACTTGAGCCTTCGGCTCAGGTGAGCTAAAAAGTCTGTGCGAAAATTTCAAGCATCTGTGATGAGTAGTTGCTGAGAAATCTATGATGAAAATTTGTTACGGACAAACACACAGACAAACACACAAGGGTAAAACAGTATACCCCCCTCTCCTTTGGCGTTGGGGTATAATAAAAAGGCAAAATTTAAATTACCAATTCCTTCATAAGATCCTGTAAAGGTTTTGGCAATTTGGAAGGAATATCAGACTTGAGACAGAATTCAACTTTCCGAGCTTTAGTTTGTTTTTGTTCCCTCTGGACTAATCTGTACTTCTTGGGATGATTTTCAAAGCTGAAATAATTTATATGTAAATATTAAAGCATATCATGAGGTATCTTGCACTTATTAACTTGGTAACTAAGGTTGAATTAAGACATAGGCCATCACATATACTAGTGCATCAATGTACAAGTATGTTTCTATTCATATTACTTATTTGTTTTCTCCATCTCCTTCCAACTTTTCAAGATCACATTTTCTTCAGATAACACGTTAAATCGAGGGTACCATCAAGATGCATATGCTAGTAGATGTACTAAAATACATCTAACCTCACAATGGCTCACATACATAAACATGTCATGTGATGAGGTCATAAAAATTTCAAATTTCACCCAAACAAAATGTGTATGTAAAACAGAATACACCAGTATTTATATAATTTCAAGCTTTACAGATCCACCCTCCAAATTCCAAAGAGTAGACTCTGATTAAGCCCCATGATGTGTTAACGACGGCACTCTTAAGTGTAACAAAAATTTTCAGTCTTTCATGGCTTTAATACTTGTATGTGAATACAAAAAACAAATACATGTACAGACTCTGTCTATTACAAATAATACCTACTTTTTGACACTGGCCCATGTATTTCCTGTCTTTGATCTGAAGACTTTGCAGAATTCGGTCACAGCTTCAGCTTTAGAGTGGAATGGAGTGTGCTGATACTGTCCCGAGTCTCCTATCCTACCCCAGCGTGTGAACAGTATATACAGATCAATTCCCTTCTGATACACAATCTACAACAGAAAATCTATGTTAATCCAAATTAAATTGTAGTTTTTAAAACTATACAAGTTACTGAAGTATCCTGACCTTTGATATACGAAATGTATAGGTATTCCTTGAGCTTTCATGTTGGGTTGAAACAATACGCCCCCCTCTGCAATACGATATGTATCGCGATACTTGTGTCACAATTCAATTTTTTCAATACGATACATTTTAAAAAAGAAACAAATCATAAGGTTAAAGAAAACACGTATTCAGATTTCAAAAGGCAAGTAAAAGGTGGTGATACAATAAAGAGCACTACTTGTGCTTCTGTAGATTAAAAGAGCACTTTGTTCGTGTCAATACTAGCAGTGGCAGCCTGCTTTGAAACTTTCTCTGTCACCATTTTCTCCCTCTGAGTGTCAAACTATTAAAACAAAGTCAAACCCGATCTATTTTTAAGGAGTTACCGAACCCAATTTTTAAAAAATGTATAGAACTGAAAATCGAGATAGTGAATCGAACATTGAATCGAGATAATATATTGAACAATATCGATATTTTGGTGAATCGTTTCACATGGCCGCAGGAACTGGGGGGGAGGGGGGGGGGGCCAATAATTTTGCCGATATATAGATTACTATAGAAAACATAGCTATTATACGCATGTGCCCCCTCAATAAAAATGTCTAATGACTTTTTTTTTTTTGCATGTCAAGGAATTTTTGGTAGTCGATACTGCCCCCTCTCAACTGAAAATGTATGGCTGTGCCCCCCCAAACTGAAATTGCTTCCTACGGGCCTGTCTCAGCCCTACTTTCGTGTGCCTTTCATGTGAGAGAAATGTAGAAAAGCACCTGTCATCTTGCACATAAAGATGTTTGCAGATGTATCAAATTTGAAATTTCAAACCTGCACATTTGATCAAGAACCAACTTTATTGGTGTTGTCTTTCTATTGCTGGCATCCAACTTTTCATGTTTATTAAAAAATTTGGGGGTTGAAAAACATTCTCCATATGACAAAAATCCAGTAATAAATGTCCGTTATTCAGGGATGTTACAAAATTCTATGGAGTTTACAGTATTGTACATGTTATTCAGTGGTGTTAGATATTCTATGGAGTTTACAATATCATGTATGTAATTTAGTGGTGTTACAGTGATGTAACACATTCTATGAGTTTCCGATATTGTACATGTAATTCAGAGATGATACCCATTTTATGGAGTTAACAATTAGTACATGATTACACAATCTATGAAGTTTACAGTATTGTACATGTAATTCAGTGATGTAACACATTCAATGGAGTTTACAATATTGTACATGTAATTCAGTCATGTTACACGTTCTATGAAATTTAAAGTATTGTACATGTAATTTAGTGATGTTACTTATTCTATGGAGTTTACAATGTTGTACATGTAATTCAGTGCTGTACACATTTTATGGAGTTTACGATATTGTACATGCAATTTAGTGCTGTACACATTGCATGCAGTTTAGGATATTGTACTTTTAATTCAATGCTGTACACACTGCATGGAGTTTACAATATTGTACATGTAACTCAGGTATGAAGTTTAGGATGTTGTACATTGTACATACATGTATAACCCAATTATATCGCACATTTCCTGAAGTTTACAATATTATATTTAAGTGATGTAACAAATCTACTGGAGTTTACAAATTCAGTGATGTCACACCTTACCTGGAGTCTATAGAAGTTGTACATGCCCCATGCTCCGTGACTAACATCCACCTTGGATAACAAGGCATCATAAGCTATTCCCTGAGACTCATCATAAACAACCTCCCTGTTCCAAATAAAAAATAACAAATCTTCTTTGAAGGTACTTAATCATTCTTTTTCATGTTCATGAATAATTAAAAATGTTGAGCATTTTTATTTCAAAGGAGATGGGTGAACATGACGAGCGATAAGCCTATAGTGTGACAAACATGAAATTTCAATTATATCAAAATTTTCCTTGATATTTCGTCTAACATTAAAGTATACTTTATATAAAATCTCTATAATTTGCAAAAATCCCTCAAAGATTGAAATTATTTGCCTGAGAAATATTAGACACACACTCAGGGCTCGACATTAACTTTTTTTCCTACTTGTCCATTCGGACAAGTGACCAAGACATTTACTTGTCCGAACTTCAACTTCACTTGTCCGAAAAAAATTCAATAAATATCTAATACTGTCAACTGGAAAACTAAAATAAAGTCCATTACACATGACATGTGCTTGACTGATTCGTAATGTTATTGATAAATACAACAAACACATAAAACGAAATTTTATCTACCGGGGTAATCTTTCTGGTCTGACAACAACATAAATGTCCACAAGTGAACCAAACTTCGTTAAGTTCGTAAGTTCCATGCCTTTTCAGTAGTATGCAATTAGTGAACTTCGATCCCGATCGAATGTGAACTCAATTAATAGCAATCGCTATCGGGATCGAAGTCCGGATTTTATGTACAGCTTCCGTCTTGAAACTACCGATTAACTTTCAACCGTCATTTTTTTTTTTTTAATAATTTAGAGACTCTTTAGAGACTCCTTTATATTAAAATGCACTTGTCCAATCGGACAAGTGCCCAGCAATATTCACTTGTCCGTAATTTTTTTTCACTGGTACCGGACAAGCGTTAATGTCGAGCCCTGACACTAAAGCGGGCAAAAAGAGTCATTTTCTCATACTATAATGCTATTTTTCAATATGAGTGGGTCTTCACTCCACCTTTTTGAAAGTTAATCCTCAAAGTTTGCATAAAAATATACATTTTTCGGTTACCAAAAATATGGAGCAATGACCCACTATACCTTAAAAATATACTTTTATGACATAACATTCGCATCTTTTCAAGAAATACTTGAAGTCCATTAAGTCAAGGGTCATATCACAAACATGATTTAAATGCCGCTCTTCATCAGGACTTGTGTAGTCTAGTGGTTAGCGTGCTAGTCTCGAAAGAAAATAATACTCAGGATTTTTATTGCCAGGGTTTGAACCCCATGAATACCACATATTAATTTTTTTAATAAAAGAATAAATTTTGCCGAGAAAATTTTCCTCAGAAAAGTTTTGTTTATCATAATTTCATAAATTTCAATAATGAGAACTTTACTCTAAATACTAAATTCACAAACTGAACATGATTTTTATATATATATCTGAAGCTATAGGCTTTCTGCACGCTATGTTCGCCGATCTCCTTTCTGGTATGAATCAAACGAGATTTGAATTCTTAATACAATGTTATAAAAGTAGCTTTAAAAATACTATATTACGGATGTCAACTAAATAAAATAGACAAACACCACTTCTGCTTGTAAAGCCTTACCCTACATTCTTGAGGGCACAGCAACTGTCTGGTAAAACTTTCTTCTCCAGCTTTCCATCAACCTCCATATCCTCTGCAGCATACTTTTTGAGAAGAGCTTCAGCATCAGCATGATAATCTACCTTGTCTGCTTTCAACAGATTGTCATTTAATTCAGAATTGCTTGCAAAGGTTGGTTTCTCCTTTGAATAAAAAAAAAAAATTATTCATAAATAAATTTTCCAAGCTGAAAATTATTTTATATTCATGTACATCATAAATAAATAATGAACCAACGAACCTATTGTGCATTTATACAGTACACATAAATGCTTTTACTCTTTTCATTTAAATGATGCACAATTTTGTTGCTCCTTAAGAAGTTATATGTAAATACTAGTAATTTCTCTAACCATTTTGTCCTTCTCGACACCAGAGAGTTCCTGAAGAACGGCTGCCAATTTACATGCCCCACGGATCAATGCATGATCCAAGGGAGATAACCCAGCATGGTCCTTCTTTTGTATTTCTGCTCCACATTTTGCAAGAACAGTCAGAATTTCCACATTATCAAAAGTTCCCACTTCCAGTGGACACACAGTGTGATGCACGGCTGTCCATCCCTGCTGGTCAGTAGCATTCACATTAACGTCACTCGTTTTTGTAATTGTCTTTTCTTTGTTTGCTTCCCACCATTTTTCATTTTCTGAAACTGAGAAGATTTTGAAATAATTTTGTTTATTTGTCAATTCCAAAGTAAAACTATCAGCTCTGCATAATTTTTCAATCCTTCAAATTGCTATTACACTCCACCATTCATTATGAACTTGATATGCAAAACAAATTATTCATGGGGATGAATTTTTTAAAAGCTAGTACCTACATTCTATATTCTATATTTTGTACAATAACTCCCATTTTCCGTATCTCTCCAAAATATAAGTATTTGTTTGCATTTTGTTATAATCTTCATAATATTCCCCAATTTTACTTGGGTGTACCCTCCTACCACATAAACTGAACCAAAAAATTATTTCTTTAGCATGGAGTACTGTTTACCTGTTTGACTCTTTTCTTTGCTTATAGACTTCTCCTTTGAGGTGATTTTGATGATAGAGGGGAACCTCTCTGGCACCTCCTCCTCTTCTTCTTCCTCCTCCTCCTCTAAGATGTCTGTATCTCTATCACTGTCCTCATCCTCATCACTGTGGTCCGAGTTCTCAACTTCATCCTCTACAAATATAAATTGTGTAAATATGAAACTTCTCTCCGTAAATCATAAACAGAAGAAATCAATTCCCTATATGTGACAAAAAATTATTTAAGCATGAAATCTGTTTTAAATCTTATTACATGTATTTATATAACAAATGTTATTTCTGCTTGCTACATGTACTAATGTTGATTCCCAATTTTTCTGTCAGTAATGCATTACAGGAATAATAGTAAGTCAGATATTTTTAATCTATATTGTAAATAATCAAGTACTTACCATTTTCATTTTGCTCCTGATCACTTTCCTCTTTCTCAGATTCAAATGGCTCATTTTCTGAAAATTCACAATTAAGAAAAAATGAAAATACTAGCTAGAAAATACATTTAACAGAACTTGAAACTTCGAAGTTTTGCAATAGTGCAGCAAGTAACAAAACTACATGTACAGTGTGTGCATCTTTGTTTTTTTTTCTTCAGCACAAGAAGTACTCAAGTAAAATTTTACCTGGCTGTGTATGAATATACATGTTTAAGTTGAATAAGATTTTATTTCTTTCAATTCATTATAACATAAAATTTTACTGCTATTATTTCATCTCCTTTAATATGCTTAACAACATTAAAAGTAACACACTGTAGTTCTTAGTTTTTATTGTTTAAATACCTTGGACACACTGGAGACCCTGTTACATGTATTTTATATACACGTAGATGAGACATCGTCAAATTTTCAATTATTGTTAAAGCTTAAAGATATACATGCTACAATTTGCGTCAGTTAAAAATAAAGTTGGAAATATATTTATTTTACATTAAGTTATGAAAATGCTGTAAATTACACAATCGAAAGTGAACACGTTATAAAGATGTCAAATTATAATTATTTATTTTCCTTCCAGGAAAGTAATGCCTCTATTTAAATTTATGCATCACGAGACACCACTGCTACTTTTAGATCGATAAACATGGCGTCAAGAAAACGATGTAAGCTTTTTGGTATACAATAAAAATACAATAACTTTGACATGGATGGCAAATGATACTAATCTTTTTAAGCAGTCGGTATTCACCATCTACTCTGTAATGACAGATATTATCCTTTTATTGATAATTGTAGTCAAAATGCAATGTACCTCGTCGTCTTTCATTTCCGTGGACATGCATTTCTAAACTGTTTTTGCACTTCATCAATATTCAAGAAAAGGCAGCAATTAGTAATTGCAGATCTTGCTTAACAGTTTTGAAATTGCAACAGATAATTTAATAAAACTTTGTGGAAAGTATTTTTTTTTTCATTACACAATGTTTCTCAAATAACTTAAGCATTTTGTTCACATAAAAAAAATTGGCATTTATATAGCATGTATATCTTTAAGTATTATAGTTAAGCTATTAATAGCTCACCCTCCTCCTCACTTTCTTCTTTCTCAGATGATACATCATCATCGATTGGTCTGATCTGGAAGACATGGCGCGAGTGTTGTTTTGACAGAGAGAAGGGAACTTTTCCTACTTGGGGGCTATTACTCGTTTCCCCATCATGACAGTAGGAATTATTAAGCAGCAATTTAACAAGATTGACATCATTCTGAAATCAGTAAATACTTACATGTACATGTCTAATGATGTCAGGTAATATCTGCAATACTTAACACACAATTTGGCTTATAAAAAATGCGAAAACATCTTATTAAACTACATAACAAAACAATAAAAGAATACATTTAAAAAACAATATTGTCCTATCAAAAGCAATTTAAATACACCTTTGTGGAAAAAATCTACTTTTACTTTCCTTTCAAGCAACCTTGCAATATACATGTACCTTTTTCACTGCATGCATCATTGGTGTGATTCCCTGACTGTCAGCAAAGTTAGCCGAGGCTCCATGCTTCAGCAAGTACTTGCTCAGTTCAAAGTGAAAGCCACTGATGGCTTGAATTAGGGGTGAGATTCTATATGAGCTGGCAGTGGTCAAGTAGTTAGGAGTGTCTTTTGATATGACATCAAAACTTGGATAATCAGGCATTGGGAAATCACATAAAAAGTCCAAACTAGCTCCTCTATCACTTAATAGTTTCAGCCATTTTCTGTCAAAAAATATATCCCATGAAAACTCAAGTGCATTTAGCAAATGATGCTATATTAGATACATGCTTTCTAAATGTTCACTGACTTTATTAAGAAAAGCAATTTTACTTACTCGCTTTCACTTGATAAGGCTTTTGTGAAATCAAAGCCCCAGAAATATGCTGCCAGTACTGTCCTATCAAACTTGTCTTTCTTGTTTGGTTCAAAGGTTTTGTCATTTTCTGTAAGTCAAAATAAAATCTAATTAAAGTTTTTATTCTTGTAGCTATATTACAATTTCATACTTCATTCATAATCAAAGATTTTTCAATAGGTTCTAGCTTTGCCTAAAAAATTGCAGCTATTTCTATGTTTTGTTTTGTTTTTTTTGTAATCAAGGCAACACCCACTTAAGTGAAAACAAAACCAATGTACAGAATTGTAAATCTTGGTGTGGTCTAATTGTGTATACCAAGATTTACTGAAAATAGATCAAAGCTGTAGGAGTAGAGTTTTAAAATAAGTTTCAAAATTCAGTAATCATGGCAACACTGCTGATTGAAAAAAAATATGTATCTTGGAAAAGTATGACAAGAAATTGGATCAAACTGTAGAAGTCGCCTTTTGAATAACTGTTTACAGACTGACAGGTACTCTGGTAGTAGAGGTATTGAACAATGGACATCTTATCATATGCTCTACTTATCTCTTGCAAATAGAGCTAAAAAGTGGTTCTCAGGCTAAAGCAATACTTGTATATTTAAAAAATCAAATCAAATGCTTTGTGCAGGCAAATAAATTAGCCTAGTAACTGTAAACAAACTTAATTTGCGGTAATTATCCTTGAGTTTACATATTTTACAAATTTCCTTTAGCTCTTTTTTTTAACCAATCATTCATTTTAATCTGTATTTGTAAAAATGTTTTCTAAAATAATACTTGGATTAAAGTATTTGGGAGAAATCAAAGTATCAAAAATAAGCTATCAACAACATACATGTATTACACAAGACATTTGATTTCAGAAATCTGTCCTCAATCAGAAAATTGAATTTAAACCCTTGGCTTAAATGAGGAAAAATAAAAGATTTTTTCCCAAAAAACAAAATGTTGCCAGTTCAAGCCACTTAGCTCAAGAACCAATCTATTTTTTCCCTACCTATGTAGAATTTGGCTAGATTATATGGTTGGTGCTTTAATGCTGCATAATGTAGAGGAACACAACCATTTTCATCAGCCTGACTGAGTGACACTCCACGCGCCTTCAAAGCTTCTGCCATCTAAAAATCACATTCACTTCAGTTAAATTTCACACTTTTTAAGAAATTATACAGAAATTATACTAAATGCACCTGCAAGTACATTGTACAATGTTCATGTTTACACACTAAAATTGATAATTTGTAAAAGTGAACACGTTCAACTCATCTAACATGAAAGTTCATGGCAGTACAACCCAATCTACATTATGTAGGTTTTTCTGGGCATCTGTTTGTCAAATTTTGAATTTTTTCTTTATTTTTCAAAGTAAAAATTTCTGATATATTCTAACAAAACATGACATAATTAATTTCTTAATTACAATCATAAAAGTGTCATCTGTGTACTTGTACATTCATACAGTACATATTCTTTTTAAAAACAGATTAAAACTCTTAGCCAGAATTACTCTCCAGTTGTTCCCCTTGCAACAGTGTTACCAATTTCCACATGTTATCATATAGGTAACTTATTCCATTCTATACTTACAGTTTTTTTAATCTACAGCACAAACAGTATCAATTTTTTCTAAACAATATTATCAAGGGTATCATATATTTATATTTGTATACTGTAATATTTACTATCCAATCTAGGAAACCTCCAGCATCCCCAATTGGACTACAAGAAAGACTCCAAGTTACTGACTGGGTACGTGAAGTTGTATATTGGTCTTACCTGGTACTGTGACTCCACCTCATTGGGTGTGATATCACAGAGAGCCAGAATGTGGAACAAATTCTGTTTTTTCTCATTCAGCATGTGAACTTTACTGTTGTCCTTGATCCTTTTCAGCACCCTCATTGCCACATTGAATTTATTCACCCTCAGGGCTGCCTGTCATCAGAAATTGCTTTTTTTGACAGTTTGATTGCATAGTTTCTATATATCTCAATGATAAATTCAGAATGAAAGTTTGATTACATTGTTCTTTTCAACTCTGATGACCTCAGAGGCGCAGAGGTTGTGGATAAGCTATGCTTTATGATAAAGATAGCAATAAGTCACTCAAGACTCAAGTGATCAAATAAATTGTCTTTATAAATTCTTCTTAAACTACCAGTACACTTGATAAACTGTGAAAATACATACATGTAAATGTACTTACAATCTTTGCCATCAGATTACTAAAGAATCTTCAAACACTGTTTCATATCAGTATAATGGACTTCACAAAAATTCACCCCTGTTTGCCACACACAGAGACTCTGTTCCCACAACTCAGGAACAGAAATGTCTGCAGTTGACATATCTACTCTATGTTTCGCCTTACAAACACTGCACAATCTCAGTACAGCATTCAAGATTCAAAACAATTTACTCTGGTTGATAATTTTGAAAACAATGTTGCTCAGGAGAGTTTTCTATCATCATCTGGCAAAGCTTGCGAGTTGCTAATGAATAACTTCTATACAAGAGGTCAGATTTAATTAAAGGTGTGGTATGTGTTACAAGTAAAATTTGTTTTATTTCAATTGCATTTACCTCGACCATAGAGGCATTAATATCACCTGCTTCCAGAACCATGTAGGCCACTCCCTGCTGCTCTTTTTTAATACAGTCCTGTAGAGAAAATATCACACACATATTAAACTACATGTAAATAATACACAGATTTCAAAAAAAATTAACAATCTTAAGAAACAATAGGACTATGTAAAGGGTTATTCTGGTAAAAAAAATATATATCAGAAGGGTAAAACCCTTCTAATTTATATTCCTTGAACACTTGTAGACGTTAGAATGCACATGCATGTATGTATGTCTATATAAATAATCAAATAAGACAGATTATTTTATCATAATATTAAATTATCTCACCTAATTGTCAATTAATTAATAATTGACAAATGGCCATACTGTTGTTGGTACATTTATACTTTTTGTAAACATAAAGGTACAAGTTAACAATACTGCAACTTTACTTTGGTTAGCTGTAGTACTGTAGTGTTATGGTTTTATATTTTAGTCTTTGACCCTAACGCTACAGATCCCGTAATGTAAATAAAGTGTAATTTACGGCGCAAAATTTCCTGTGCACTTTTGGGATGCATTTCGCCACTTTCCAGCATTGGTCAATCAACGACCTTTCATCCCCTAATTCTAGACATATTCTTTAACCAACCTGTATATTTTATCCACCTTCTAACCATTTATAGTCGTCTCTACAGACCAATAAACTTGTTATGCCATCCGACAATAAATTCACAACAAGCGAGTTTATTGGTTTGAAGAGACGACAATAAAGGGTAAGGAGGGGGATAAAATATATATAGATATCGTTGATTGACCAATGCTTGAAAGTGGCAAAATACATCTTCAAAGGAAATCTTGCGCCGTAAATTGCACTTTATTTACGTTAAGGGATCTGTAGCGTTAGGGTCACTACAGTTCTACAGCTATACTTTGGCAAGACCTATCTAAGACAATCACATCACTTCCTTTTCCGATTTACACAATAGCGGTTGCAGCAACAAGTTAACAAATTTGTAACATCGGCAGCTATCAAAGAATTGTTAAGCAGAAGAGGGTCAAGTATGTTTGATGTTGTATTATCGATATGTAACAATAAAATGTCTTTCTTTCTTTGTTAGTATGGGAATTAACATTGCTGCTAAGGCAAAAAAAAAAAATCACATAACCTGCGTAAGCAGCTTATGTATTTTTTCTTCAACAGCTGCAACATTAATTCCCATACTAACAACCAAAGAAAGCATTTTCATGTTTACATGTACATCAACCTAATGCTTTAAACACCAAATAAAACTGACCTGAAATACTGAGAATTCCTTTTTCTCTACAACTTCTACTTGTTTGGCATGCTTCCACACCCAGTTGTGAGGCTCTGGGGGTTTGGTCTCCGTATCCTCAAACTTCAGGGCCTCGTGTATTACCTTCTCATTCACACTTGCTCCCTTCTGGATCAACATTATTGCACAACTAAAATCAAAATCAGGATACGTTATGTAGCTTGGTATTCTCTCATACTTTATACTGATAAAATTTTGACCCATATACTTATTCCTCATGATCTGTGCGCAAATACAAAACATGCCAAATTCACCAGAAACATAAATAGCTTTTTTAAAATACCTATGTCTGGGAGAATTTAAAATAAGGTAAAATCCTTTTATGAAAGGGCAAAAATAGCATAGCGTGAAAATACAAGCTAAACTACTGTATATATAAGTGAAAATTTAATTAAGAACTCTCTTACCTATCATGACCTTTGCTAACAGCTAAACTCAATGGGGTGTTACCATTGATATCTTTCCTGTTTATTTCCACATTTCTCTAAAAGAAGATTAACAAATGAAGTTAAAATTTACAGGTTTGCACCAAAGAAAAAAAATTTCTTTAGACTTGTTTCCTTCACAAATTCATTTACTTTGCTTCTATTCACATTACAACGATCTCTGACGAACACTATGCAAGTTCAAAAACTATGTGTTTCATGTAAATCTCTCAGGCACCTGCTGAAGGAGATGGATACAGCAGATTGTGGCTCCCCTTTGTGCTGCTAAATGAAGAGCTGACTGCCCGTTTTTATCTGCATCATCAACATGTTCCCCTTTCATGGCACTGGTCAGCACTGTACACAGTTCTATTGGGTCCAAAGTTGAGGACTTGCCAAATCTAATAATACATTACATTTTTAAATATGAAGAAAAAAAGAAAGGATTGTCATATGAACATGTAATTGTAACTGTTAAAACTGTCCTACATGTACACGATAATTATTGTACCTCCATATTAAATTTTATATATAAGCCTGATGTAATCAATTATTTTTTCTATATGCTTGAAAAAAAAAATATGGCACTAAAGATTACCTGTCAACTTTGTCAAATAAGTAGTGTAATGGGATTCTATTCAAACTACACTTTAGAAAGAGATCTGCTTTGTTGTCAATGAGAAGTTCCTCCATAGCTGTGCTGGCATCAGCTGTTCCTAGGTTGCTGCTGACACAGTAATGCATCGGGGTTCTGTTCCATTTGTCCGTGGCATTTACTGCTGCTCCGGCCTTTAAGAGAGCTTCAGCTATGTTGATCTTCTGTGATAATAAGGCACCTGAAGATCCTGTGAAAGATTTTGTAATTTTAACTGACTAGAAATATGTCCATAAGACCCAATGCTCCATCCAATGATACATGTTTATAAATATGGAGATGAAATATTCAAGATGCAAGATGAATCAAGAAACAAGCATTAACCAAACCAGTCATGTTGGGAAACATTAGTTTTCAAGAATAATTCAGATATTTCATTTTCAAAGATTTCTACATAGCAAATTAGTGCCATCCTTTTGTAGAATGTATAAAACTTGCATTGCCTGCCTGACGGTCACACTTTAATGTACAGTAAAACTTGGTTATAACGAAGTCACAGGGACCTGTGAAATTACTTTGCTATACCCGTAACTTGTTATATCCATATAAGGAATTCATAAAATTTACATGTATATAACTGGAAATCCAAGATAACTTTGCTATATTCGTGAATTCGCAAGATCCGTTTGTACTAAACAAGTTTTACTGTAATGTGTAGTCCATCTTCAATCATATTTTTGAGTTAATTTCTTTAAACGGTGAATGTCAACATTCTCACTTATCATTTTTCTTCCATGTTTACTATTATCAAACAATTTTCTCATCAATTTAAAGACTGTTTTTTATTTTACCACTTTAAAGAACACCTTTTTTAGCCTAATTCAATTAAAAAGCTTGATAAAGAAATATCCTGATTGTAACACCATCTAAATACATACCTGTCCTGAGTGCTACTTCATGTAATGGTGTTCTCATGGTTTCTGTGTTTCGACAGGTTGAAATGTCATTTAAAGCTGCCAAGATTAGTTTCAGCATTTCATCTGTTCCATTTCTGTAAAAAGTAGCATCTGATTGGTAAGTTGTTAAAAGTATTCACCAAAAAAGATATTTTTGTTGATATTTTGAAATAGGAAATAATTTTTCAATAATGTTCACAAAATGCTTGTGGTTGTGAACTGCAATATACCTTCACGTTTGGCAATCATGGAAAAAAAAATATTCTTTTACTTGCCAAAGAAAAGGTAATTTTACATTTACTGTAAAATCACATATTTTGTGGGGTCATTTTTTTCGTGGTTTAAGGATTAAATATTACTAGTTCTTGAAAATGCAATTTTGTGGTCGAAAATGTGTTGCCCCAATACATATGTAGTTTCTGCATTTAGTGGAGGACATGAATTTGTGAGTCTCTTTATATCATGAAAACCAAAACTATCAACCCCCAACAAAAATTAAATTTCACAGTATATACATGTAGTACATGTACTGTATTACTCACAGTGCTATTGTGTTTACAAGGCTCACTTTGGTTCCTTTCTCTTTATTCACAAAATAACCAACATCTGTTTTGGCCCCAGCTTCTATCTACAAGAAAGAGAAGTTACCTGTACTTTAACCATAATGCTCATGACAATCACAGCGGATTTAATTACAATGTTACATAACCACAATTTTGTACAGAAATAAATTCTATTGCTTTTCTGCCATGATTTATTTAGCATTTTGTTCCTTACCAGCATTTTAGCTATTTCTAGTGAATTCTTAGTCACAGCCAGAGCAAGCGGTGTTTTCCCCTCACTCTCAGCACTCTCTAGGTTTGGCTTCTGTGTGACGAAAAATTTTAAGCCTTTTCCCTCATTGTCCCATGCTGCAGCTGCCTGGACCATAAAGTGAACTGGAGTGTACAGTCCTAAAATAAGAATGTATAAAGGCTCATTACAGATCAAAATGCATATCAACCAAAGTTTCATAAAGATTTGAAGCTACAATTGTTCTACCTGTCAATCACACCTAAATTTTTGTATACCTGACACTGATACATGTTGAATACCAGCAACGTGTCAAAGAGAGTCTTTGCTCCAACCTACATGCATTTTATCAACCCAGCTTAACATATCAATCACTTAGATATTCCGATTTTGCCCAATTAATTAGACATTTCCAGGTTTGACTATCTTCCTTTAGAGAACCGAATGCTAACTGCTGATTTTTTTCAGTGGAACAAATCAGCATTACAGTCATTATACATGATATATACACATGTGCATGTATGTACTAAAATATTATCCTATACACTTTAATTACCACATCTGCCTTTCTCCTTTTCTTTCACACACTGGTTACAGTTTACCCTTGTTATCTCAATAAGTGTCTTTATATAATCCAAACAATACTGGTCACCACAACTTTCTTGTTTCTGAAAAAAGAAATGGCAAATAATTTCATCTGGAATTTTGGTTTATCAAGTTAATATATATATATATATATATATTTGAATGATGAATTCTAATCTTGTATGGTAATTCTTCCCTTCAATGGAATAATTTTTTTTTGCTTAGAATTCTTATGTTAACAAGAAATCCTAAAATTTTTGCAACATCAACATGTAAATAAACTGAACCAGTCCCCTACATAAATTGAACCAGTCCCCTACATAAACTGAACCAGTCTCATACATAAACTTAATTATTATACCTCTACTGATATATTCCCTGTATAACATAACATCGTTAGATGTGACTAATGCCCTAGAAATCGTTATGAATGGACTAATCCCTGTGCGTTAGTCAAGTGAACTAATCCCTGCTTCAAAAGCTAATTCTCAGTTATCCGTAATCCTCTAGATTTTACTTCTACATTGGTATGATATGTGAATGGACTAATCCCCATGTGTTAGTTCAGTGAGCTAATCCCTGCTTTGAAATCACGCTATCTGAATCCTCTAAATTTTATGTTTGTATCGGTATAATAAAACAGTTAAAAGTATATCATTGCAGGAGTTAGCAAGATTCCAGTTCCCCTCAACCAGGACTATTTCCCTCGGCTTCACCACGGGAAATAGTCCTGACCTTGGGGAACTGGAATCTTGCCAACTCCCTCAATGATATACTTTAACTGTATACTATTCCCCTACATAAACTGAACCATTCTCCTACATAAACTGAACCAGTCCCCTACATAAACCTAACCAGTCCCCTACATAAACTTAACCATTTCCCTACATAAATTGAACCAGTCCCCAACCTAAACTTAATCATTCCCCTACATAAACTGAACCAGTCCTCCTACATAAACTGAACCATCCCCCTACATAATCTGAACCAAACCCTTTTCTTTATCTATTTCCAAAAGCCCAAGCAAAGAACTGCCCTGCATGATTAAAGTCAACGGCTTATCTCTTAATTACTTCAGAACAAGCCGTTTAAACTAATATCACTTCCTGTGTACATACAGCACAAGATGAAACTGCAATAAAACAGGATTCTATTATTAAAGATGACTGCAAAACTGTGGACACCATATACATATACAGTATCTTACATTAAATAAGGATCCTCCTCTTCGAAATTGCATGTACATTTCACATGCCAACAGAAGGGGAGTGAACCCCTGATCATCATAATCATTAGCCATCTGCTGAAGCACACTAACAGCTGATTGGAAAGAGGCTTGTTTCTTCAGAGAAGGAATTTTGGCTGTTTGGGCATTTTTGACACCATCGACGTCCATACTTTCTTCAATACCATTTTCTTTCACATCATTTTTAGATGCCTGAAATGCAATTATATCATTTCATATGAATGCAAACAAAACTCAATTTAAATGTTTCTTTGAGGACAGAAAAATGAAAAACTTTATCAGATGAGGGATATTTATTACTCAAGAGTATTTTCTACATGTATTTTAAATGTAAGAAGTTAAAACTTTCATCAGATTTCTGCTGTGGCAATACATAGTCAAACCTGTGTTTTGTGACCCATAAAGGGAGGTAAAAAGGTGTTTATGCAGATCAGCATTAAAATAAAATAAAAATTTAAACAAGTGCCTGTTACTTCCAAGAGCAGATTGAAATTGAAAACCAAATCTCCTGTCTAGCACTGAAGCAATATCAATGTAATATTTTAATACCATGGTAAGTTACAAATTATTATTGAAGTACAATATACAAAATCTTAATCTGAGGGACATACATGTATATTTTATAAATACTATACAACTTGTTGGTATGCTCAACATGTTCTCAAATGACACTGAAACTGTAATACAACTTCACTTCCATAGAAAACTAATTCTTAAATTTAGGTAGAGGACTGAAATAAATGTCTACTGCAAACCATATTACTGTCTTATTTAATTTTTGAATGCGTGGGACAAAAAATAACTCTTAAGATTCTATAAATAATTAAGTTTAGATAAAGTGATAAAGTTAGATTGTGCAAGAGCTTAAAAGGCAATGGAATTTACCTGGGCAACTCTGGTGTCCTTAAAACAATATGTACATAGACGTTACCATAAAAAACATACTCTATTTATATGATGTAAGGCAAATAGTGCCAGTCTAAGAAATCCACCCAATTTTTCTACCTGCAGATTAACTGAAATTGTGATTTCAAATTATGCCCCCCCCCTCCCCCCCCCCCCCCCCCCCCCCGGAAAAAAATACCTTTAAAGTACACAGATATTTCTTTCAGTGATCAAAACAACACCATTCAACAAAGTCAAAACAGACATTCATTGAAGAGGCAGTCAAGGAACACTTTATCATCAACTCTTCAGGCCCCAGCTAAAAATTACCTCTTTATGAAAAGTTCTCAGGAGTGATGCTAGTTCATAAGAAGTACAGTGTGTTGTCAACAAGTGCAGAGAGTTTTGTCCCTTGTCATTTTTCTCAGGTGTGATAGCTCCTCCCTCCTCTATCAAAAATTTCACAAGTTTTGTGTTGACCTACAAAAAAAACATTCCAAAAATTAGTATTGATGATAGAAATTTATTATACATAAAAAGAACAAGATCTTCATGTTAAATTTATTAACTAATTGATTATTGCGTGAGTTGCAAACATCTTTGTATACATATAGTTGATTACCTTAAAAAAAAATTAACAATTTTCCCTTAAAAAGTCTACCTTCATGTGCATGCATGTCTAATATGCATCCAACACAAAAACTACACTCGATAAAATCTTGATAGGAAAAAATTTCCTTTCTATACAATTTTGTGTTGTGAAAAAATGCTGTTTGGGATACAATTATATGTGCAAGTCTTTTAAGAAATATTGTTAATTGTATACATAAAACATAAATCTTCTCCCCCTCCCTGTGTAGGAGTCCAAAATGTATGACAAAATCTACTATTTGGCAGACTGTTCATTCTTACCTTTGTAAGTGCCAGCATGATAGGAGTTTGTCCAGTTTTGGTTTTTGCCTTTGGACTACAACCTGCTTTTATCAGCAGCTTAGCTATGCTTATGGTAATATCCATCCGTGAATCATCCTGAAAATTAAAGTTAATCAAATCGTCTTCAATAAATTTTAAGGCTCAAATCACAAAATAGTGCACTTTGAAAAGTACAGTATATGTACATACCTTCAAAACCGTATTATTACTCAAATGATGCAACTGAAAATAACAAAGAAAAAATAACTTCAACATTCTGGTCTATCAAAACATGGTAAAAATGTTTTTTAAAAATTATAATTTACTAATCATTCAAAAATGCAGCAAACTAAAATATGAGTAAACAAGCAATATTATATGAATTATACTTACAGCATTAAACCCATCGACGTCAACAATTGTGGGATCTGCTCCTTTATCCAAAATGAAAGACATCTGTTCCACAAGTCCCTTTACAATTTGACTGCTGCAAGCTATACTGATCAGAGTCTGACCTGAAATTCATGAAAAAGCATGAGTATAATACTTCATCAGGCCACCAAATACATGTGTATGAATACAGAAATACTGAAACCAAAAAAAGTTTTTTAATATTGTCAGAGGCGTTTACCCCTTTCTGCAGTTTTCAGTAAAGTTTGTGGTTTCCATCTGCAATTTGAGTATTTGTCCGTAATTTGAGATTTTCAGTTATCTTATTTTGGCAATACACTGGCTTAATTTTCCTGAACAATTGAATACCTTTTACAAAAAATATATTTAAATGGTTAGGCTATCCTCGTGTTTTGTCAACATGTAATTTGTCAATATGTAAATGATAATCTGCCAAGTTTGATTACTCAACACTCAGAGGCAGAGCAGAGGATCAAAGAAAAAATACATTAATTTTCCACTTTATAATCAGTAATGCCCCCTGTCCCTGGGGCCACACATTTCTCAATGTTGGAAAAGACACCCTTGCTCATCAAAACTATGCATTTACTTTGTTTCCTAATACACAGGAGCAGAGGAGAACATTTTTAAAGAAATAATGCATTTTCACTATATATTCAACAGAGCCCTACCCTAGCACCAGAACCCACCACTGACCCTGGGGCCATGACTATCACAATTTTGGTAGAGTCAATGCTTATTACAATCATGCCAACAGTTTGACTGCTTGATGTCTGTGAGTAAAGAAGAAGATTTTGAAGATTGCATTAATTTTGATGGTTTCTGACCCACCCCTCAGGCTCCATGGAGGCAGGGGCCATGAATTTCACAAATTTTACTCCCCTTTACCCATAAATGCTATATTCCAAAATTGGTTGAAATTGGTTCAGTGGTTCCAGAGAAGAAGCTGAAAATGTTCAAATGTTAACGGACAACAGACAAAAAAAGATAGCAATAGGTCACCTGAGTAAACTCAGGTGACCTAAAAATACAATTCTGAACATAGCCTGTGGGTGATATTCTCAGAAATAAATGTATATCCATAATACATGTTTTGACATTAAAATCTGGGATAAATACAGAATTTCCATAATAGTTAACAGCTCTGAATTGTGTATAGAAATATTAATCAAAGCCAATTTACTCTATACATGTAACACTAGTTCAATATGAGTAAACTCGTGGAAAAAATACTTAAGTACTACATGTATATCTTTTCACCTGTAAGTTAGGTCACTTATCAGTCAGGAGCATTTTTCAGATTTTAAATTTGGAGGAATCTGTAATTGACCCACTTATATATTGGTAAAGTTTTTTTTGTCAGAATATGTTTCTAATTTAATAGTATTCTACTATATTTACCTGTGTTTCAAAGAATGTTTAGGGTATGACATCAATATTTGATCTTTTATTCACCAGTACAATACACAAATATAAGACCATTAAAACCTAGAAGCATTGGAGTTATTTCAAAATTATTGTATTTCCTCCTCCAGAAAGATATTAAAATTTCTAGGACTTGCTTATGTCATACAGTTTTTGACCAAATTTTAACTCCCAAAAATCTGACTTATAGGCGATTATAAATGGTACGTGTAGGTGTATGCATACTCAGCACTTAACATAGACTGTAACTGTTATCTCTGCTGATAAGCAGAGAAGCAGTGGACTCTTTTCCCTTCAGAATTCCACTTTTTCCAAAATAAGATACCTGTGTCAATTTTGAAATTCACATCCACTCCAGGCATCTTCAGTAAGAAATCCACCAACCCCATGTGATCTTTCAAAAAGGCCACACCTACTGGTGTAAGCTAGGGGAAAAAATAAGGTAGCAACATTAATAATTCAATTCATTGTCAACAGGTTTTAGAATACATAGCACAGACCTTTATCATTAGATGATATACCTGCCAATCGTTTGCCACACTGGGTTTCGCTCCACCTTCATTGACCAGCAATTTAAGAACAAAGTACCACCCATAAGCTGCAGCATAATGTACCAGAGAATTACCAGAGCTGTCAACTCTGTTGGGATCAGCCCCCAAATACAACAAATACGATGCCACATTCGCATTCCCATTCATGACTGCATGAGTTAGGGCTGACCGTTTGAATTTGTCTGTAAGAGATTCATTGGTAAATTAAAATCAAGGAATGGAATATCAAGTATAAAGCTTTCATAATCTAGACAATTTCCAAAAGTGAAGAAAATAGTGGCAGAATGCTACAATACCTAGTTGTTCCACAGTGGCTCCCATCTGAATGAGTCGTCTTGCAATATCAAGATGTCCATGAGCTGCAGCTAGCATCAAGGGAGTTAACTTGTCCTTGCCAGCAGACAGTGCCTTGTTGACATTAGCTCCATGTTTCAAAAGAACATTGAGAAGTTTCTAAAATTACAAAACAAATACTCATTTAAATATAGTCTTTAATGTATTTGACCTTTTACCACATCAGTAAGCTGCCACATTCAATAATTTTTCAAAGAACTGACTCCAAAGACAAATTTTTTTAATAATTATTTACATCAGTGATTATTGATGACTAACAATCAATCCACAGAAGAAAAGTGCTAAATTTTTATCAGGATCAGTAACTCTCTGTTATGTTCTATGATCATTTCACATACCTGGAATGTGAATTTGTATGTTTCTACCAATACACAAAAAATATTTACACATACAACAAACAATACATTACAATGAACAAACAATACATTACAATGATTTACTGACCATATCCCCATTTTGTACAGCTATGTGTATAGGACAAATAGTTTCCCAGGTAGGTCTGTCCACTCCTCCTTCTCCCCATTTAGAGGTCAACTGGTCATCAGTATTCACTGAAATTTAAAGAACTAACATGAAACTAGAACTGTCAAATGGACTAATGTCCCCCACTTTTTTCAGAAATGGTACCAAGTCAATAAAGGTATTTTAAAGGTATTTTATGGATCTAGAGGAACTCTTTTTCTTTTTTTTTATTAAAATTGATTGACAGTCTGACTACCCAATTCCTACCCAATTCCAAGAGGATACAGAAAATACCTGCTTGATCAAAGATCAAAGATGCTCTAAAAGAAATGATTGAGAATGCTAGCTTTCCTACACTGAACTCCTTAATCAATCTTTAACTGAATACATGTCCACTCATTACTTAGAATATAATAAATGCCCTTCTTACTCACAGAAAAATGTTTAATCTTTTATTCTCTGCAATAATCAATTTTGTTTTGATACAAATGTATTAACAAGAATATACATTTAGGAAAGGTCTAATAAGGACAATATCTGATGCCCAATCCTGTAATGAAGTAACTTTAGTTTGATACAACAAGTAACAATTTAAATTGTACATGTATTCTTCTAAATTTTAAGTAACAATTTAAATTAAAAATTTGTTTAATCTTTTATTCTCTGCAATAATCAATTTTGTTTTGATACAAATGTATTTACAAGAATATACATTTAGGAAAGGTCTAATAAGGACAATATCTAATGCCCAATCTTGTACTGAAGTAACTTTAATTTGATACAACAAGTAATAATTTAAATTGTACATGTATTCTTCTAAATTTTAAGTATCAATTTAAATTAAAATTTAGAAGAATACATGTACAGATATGTTTTCTGTCTGGCTTAGTTACAATATTAAAGGAACAAAAACAACATTATCAAAAGAACTTAGATATATATAAAAAAACATTTTTTTTTTAATTTATGATTATCCCACTCAAAACTTACTTGATTTTGCTTTTTCAATGAGAATGTCAGCATTCTCAGCCCGACCTGCATAACAGGCAAAATGTAAGGGAGTAACCTTTCTTCTTGTCACATCATTAGGGGTGGCTCCTCTGAAAAAGAAAAATTTTATATACATTTTTTTAAACATTTCAAATTGTAGTCATTATTTTCAATATTTGACATCAAGAAAGTTGACACATACTTCTTTAAAAGCAGCTCCAGAGGCCCTGTTCCCTGACAAGCTGCAGCAAAATGAACAGGTCTCCTACCATACTTGTCTTCAATGGTATAGTCAGGTTCAACAGCCAAAAGTTTTTCCAGGTATTTGACATTTGGATTTATACAGGCACAGTGCATTGGGGTCATCTACAGAAATTATTATTTTTTATTTATTTTAGAATTTTTGGAAACTAGTAGACACACATCCAACAAGAATGTGGAATTTAAGTTCAACTTTAACTTAATTACATGCCATTTTATTTCATAAGGTCTTTTTTTCATGTTCATTGTTCTTTTTGGAGAAAAGATTTTTTTCTATGTAACAGTTGGATGAAAACATGATTTTGCACTTGTGCATATAAACATGATTGAAATTTAAAACCTTTTTTTTAAACATACCATAGCATTGTCAAGTGGCTTTTTCCTTACAGATGCACTTTGAAATGGTTTGAGGTCTTCAGTTGTAAAATTCAGAACCTGAAACATAAGACAAAATGTGTTGTAAACATGGATGCCCTGTATGGCAGCTCTATGCCAATAAAGTGTTTCAAATGAGGGTCAAACTCAATGGTTACTGTAATCAGGTAAAAACTGTTGGTACCAAAAGAAAGGTTTTGTGGCAAGGAATACATGTGAAATATGAAAGCTCTAGCACTAATGTTTCAGAAATTATGACCAATGTTAGAGCTTTTCAAAAGTAGGTCAAGGACATGGCCATGAGATAAAAAATTTTGGTACCTAACGAAAGGTTTTGTTACAAATAATTTACAAGCCTTAGCGCCAATTGTTTAAAAAGTTCTTGGCAAGTTTTAAGTATTTCAAACATAGGTCAAACTCCAAGAGATCAAAAATGCAGGTACCCAAGAAAAGCTCTTATCACAAGGAAAAAACGTGTGAAATACAACAGCCCTAGCATCAAGTGATCAAAAGTTTTGGTCAAGGATTAAGTTGTGCAAATATTTGCAAAAGAAGGTCAAACTCCAAAATCAAGGTCAAGAGATCAAATACATGTATGTTGAAATATGTAGCACCAACTGTTAAAGTAATATGGGTAATATTCGTTGTTGAAATGTTTATCTGTCATTTAAGAACTACACGAAGGAGAGATATGGTAATATTTACATCTCTGTGGAGAAAATTAAATCCATATCCCCCATTTTTGAAGGCATCGTCCATCAGCTTTGCAGAAAGCTCCAGATGTCCTCGACTAACAGCATAGTGAATATTTTCATGTACGCTGGTTCTCTGAAACATTCAAAGCACAGTTTTATAGATGATTTTCCTATATAGCCTAATGTTGCATTTCTAAAGCCAACCTAAATGCTACACATCTTAAAAATTTCCTGAAAAAAAGATCAATTAGAATTTAGATACTTGTATGATAACACAATGAAAATTATGAATGTATCCTTCAGGTTTCATACACCTGTGATGGTTTAAATTATTATGAAAGTCTGCAGCTCTAAACAGATATATTATATAACTGATTTTAACTGATACATGTATTTTAATAACAATCTAAACCTTTGAAAATACTTATTTAAAAAGGGTATTATTTCTTTGTGTCCTATCTACGTGTATGGTTAGCAGTTCTCATTCCTGATAAAAACATGAAAATTGAGGACTATTTATGCAACAGGGTTCTGTACCTTAGTTTTTGATATTTACATATCAGAATGTAAATAGCTACATTATTCATTAGCATTTTAATAGTTACATACCAAGTACTCATCCTTGGCCTCTTTCAAGTATGCATCTAATGTTTCTTTTTTAACACCAGCTAATAGACAATGTTGGATAACATCTGTATCACATTCATTTGTATCCTGTATTAAATAAAACATAACTATGTGTACAACTAACTTGTTGCGGCTTTGCAAGTTGTAAAATAAAAATTGTAATTTACATAAATCCCATGACAAGGAACTCGGTATCATCTTATAGTCTGTCCAGTGAGATGATTTTAATACCAATCAAACCCTTTACAAAATAGTTACTGTGCTTTATACTTTATTAACTTAAAATGTTAATTTCCAAACACTCAAGAAAAGACGTCTTCTTGTATGAATATACATGTACATCTCACATGCTACATTTGTACTGTTTCTTCTTTATAAATACGGCTTATCAGTCTCATAGTATGACATAGGTTTAAGAAATATGGTGTTTCATAATTTCATGTACAAGCATCAGTAAGAAAATTCATTGGTCAACATAATGCCTAGTGCAACTTTGGTCGAAAATCAAAACTTAAATTAATGTACTTTAGTCAAGATTTTCATATTGTGCTGAAACCATCCTTGCAAAATCAGACATTTGGAAATTCATATAAATATATATACCTTCAAAAATGCTTTATTGCCCTCTTTGTTACCACGAGCTGTGTTGAGTTTCAGAACTGCCCTGACTCCTAGAGAGGTTTGATTGTATCTACAACAGGTTAAGAATATACATGAATGTAAGATGTCAGTGTCATAAAATGGGAAATTAAATAATAGTTTAAACTTCTATAAACAAATTATTATCTTATGGTTGTTCAAATTAGATGCAGAAAATTTTTTCCTTAAATCTAATTCAACTCTTTTAAATTTTTTTTTTTGGATAAAAGATACAACTGAATACCCACCTTCCAGTGTCAATAGCAGACAAAAGAACTGGTGAAGATGGAGTCTGAAGACGTTTGCTCTGATTCTGAGTTCTGTCCTTAAAAATTAACTTCACTGCCTCAACGTTGTTCTTCTCCAAGGCCACATGTAGAGGTGACCGACAGTCCACAATTGATCTGTGTCTATCAATCTGAAGAAAAGTGAAACAAGCATCCAATTTCTCATTCATGATACAAATTTCAGAATTCATGTTTAAATAGTATTTTGTAAATTCCTATGAAATTTATCTCTATAGTATCCTACCTTAGTCACTGGGACAACAAGGGCGTTATTTAACCAAAATTTACTTTGTAAGGTTTTCTTTAGATTTCATATTATAAACTCATATATTTTAATAACAAACACTCTTAAGGAACTGAGCTGTACAATTTTGCATTCAATCTATTCTTCTGCAATCACCATTCTTCAGTAGCATAGGACATATAGTCACATGACTAAACTGACAATGTCACATGCAAAACATTAACAAAATTATTAATATTTATGTAATTCTTGAACAAATTGTTGTGCTTCAACATCTAAATCAATTAGCTAAAGGGCTTTCTCCATAACAGCTGCAACCAAACATGCCTCATAAGACATTGAAAATATTATGTAGGCTTGAATATCTTAACTCCATCCAAATTGAATCTCAGAAGATCCCCCCAGAGCAGCAAATTTTGATATGAACAAGAGCTACATGTACATGTATATATGCCCCCCCTTCCCTAGATTATCTGGCTTGTAAAATACAAACTCACATCCTGTATGTGTTGATCATCATCAAGTAACTGTTTGAGGAGATCCATGTCATTTTGATATACTGCTCGGAAAATAAGGCGCTGGTGAGCTCTCCTAGAGATGAAAGGAACATGATCCCTACAAAAAATAGACAGACCTGAAGATCTGTTTGTGTGGTGACTCCCATATATCAACAAGATATGATTTAAATTAAGGGTATCAATAAAATCAAGCAACTTAATGAAAATGTTTATGGAACAATATCCAAAGTGATTACATCAATGCCCAATGCTATATGCAGTTTCTTATTTTGATGACATGAAATGTAATTTAACATCTAGAATGCTCCAGGAATCTGCATTTGTGTTTGTGTTGCCCATCATGACCTTGGTTGTAAGTGATCCTGACTTCTCTCAGGGGTAAGATCTTATTGCTTATCAATTTTACATAAGTTTATGATAAATCTGTGTCATTTACAAAATCTATTTCAGATTATTTGTGCACTCACTGCACTGACAAAGTTGAACACTGGCAAACTTCTCTTAATCCACTTTAGCAAACTATTAAATGTAATCTCTATTTTTCTCACTTTTGGAAAAGGCTTATATGTACATGTATGTGCAGATGAAACCAGACATACTTTGTTTCAAACAGAGGATCTTTCTCTAGAATTTTGATTTTGGGATTTGGCAGTAAGTTTCTGTCAGGTCCTCTCTTCTTCCCTGGGGAAGTTTTCTTCTCCTTCTTCACTTCTGAAATGATGTCAGATTGCATATTTATTATTCAATGTACAAGAGTTTACTATGATTAATCTTCTACAAAAGACTGATGAAAATAATATTGCAGTGCACAATACTTATTTGTTCAATACAATTAATGTTTAACGATGAATGCTACATTTTCAAAGAGACTTTCTCTACTCTTATGTAAATGATATTTTTACATGTATATTCTGGGTTATTCATTGCACACTGATGATTCCTTGCTTAGCTAACACAACTGCACAAATTTGTTGGAGTTTTTCTGAGTCTACCTAATGTACATGTATTTTCACTCAGTCTTTCATAGCAAATTAAAACCCTCGGTTTTAGCAGTGAAATATTACAAACCTTTAGGCTCTTTCTTTCTTGATCTTCCCCTAGATGACTGCTGTTTCTTCCCATTTTTACCTGAAAGTGTTTAATTCATACGTAAATACATGTAATAATATTTTTTGTTGATCATAATGATGAAAAATTTTCATTACAGAGAATATATTTATCAATGCCAAACCCTCTACTCTCCAGAAACTGACAACTTTGATGCATGCAGTGATGCACATGTTCCAATAATAACACAATTCACTGAATAGCACAAAAGACTTATCAAAAAGACTATTGATTTGAGATAAATAAGTGATCTTCCCCCATGTATTCAACAAACTTGATGCAGGGTTTTTTAAGGTATTCCTGTTTAATATTACCAGAGGGAAATTTAATTATCCAGTTTTTTCCCCTAGTGATTACTAGTGATTACTATATGTCACTTCTGCCAATAACATACATTTTATTCAGAATTTTATATACAGTGTATTTGCTGTTTCAGAATCATAATTATACAATAACATCATAAAACATCTTGAATTTGATTCATTGATAATAATTTACTTTTAAAGATACATGTATATTAAAAATCTCGTGTAAAAATCTGTATTGCAAATATATACATGTATATGTACCTTCTTTCAAAGCAACTGTTATACTCTTTTTGGCTTTCCCTTTCTTTGGCACTGGTTCATCATCTTCCAAATCTTCATGCAGACAAAATACAATATTCATGCAAACTCAAAATAAAACCACTAGATTACACGTTTCTTTACTTTTTTAACTTAACTAAAAGAAACCAAAACAAAGTCGAGCAAATTTCAGCAACTTTCATGCAGCAACAATAATATCCCTGATATGTGCATTAGTATTGAAAGGTTTTGTTAAATACCAGAATATATGGTTCCTAACAATATGCAACAGAAATGTGCATTCAATGTGCCATCAAAGAACATACCATGATCAAAATAATTTGAGAAGAAAAAAAATTTAATAAAAACAAGATACATTGTAAATGAAATGAAACCTTTACAAATAAAAAATTATAAAATACTTTAATATAGGCATTATAAAATTACTTAAATGTATGTATGCTAGGCTAACCTTCTTCATTGCTGATTTCCTCCTCTGTGTCTATCACAAGATCTTCATAAGGCTCGCCTTTCTCTTTCTTCAATGCTTTAGATAAAATCAGTTCAATTCTTGCCTTCTCTGAATCAGGAAGCTGGTAAGTTTCCCTGGCTACCCGTTCCATCCTCACATTGGTCAGGACGCACTCAATTTCAGTGTGATCCAGAAAATCGAACTTGTACACTTGAGTTTTTTCATCCTTATCTAACCACTGGATTTTAAAATGTTTTGTGTTCTGAAATACATTCTGTTGGGTCCTGCACAAGTAAAAACTTCCTAAAAGAAAATAAAACAAAAACAAATAAATGCTTGATTTTACTTAGGTGTGAAATTTGCTAAATATTGTTCAAATAAGCATTGAATGCTAAAACTTTACAGAAAAAGCATTGTACATATATTCAAAGAAAAATTGAAGGAAAAAATATCCCACACATCTATAAAATCAAACAGTATGGACTCAAGATATTGGAAAATCTGAAACAAAAATGTTCATATTCATTACCTGAATCTCCTCTGACAGCAAGAAAGACACCCTTTTTGTAAACAAGCTCCACTTCATTCTTGGGTGTTTTTGCCTTTACCACTGGTAAAAGTTCCTCTGTCGGAGACTGAAATCTCTGTACTGGCACCCTCTGCCTCTTCAGTGGTGTCCTCGGCTCAACTTCTACAGACTTTCTCCTCTATTTTGCAATAAAAGCTTTATTGAAACTATTTTTTCTATATATTACAGGGTTGCAAATAAAATTTTGAATCTTAGAAACCATGTGGGCCCCCAACTTAACACGTTTTACTAGCCAGCATTGATTTTTTTGGGGCCCACATTTTTCTCTCTACTTTGTGAGAAATTCTTGATCTTTTTTATTTAAATCTCTGATAAGTGTATGTTTCTGTCCCAAGTCTTTCATTTCCTTGATGATTTTGACACCATGAATGAATGAAATTGCATGAAGTTTTACATTTTTCTTTATTTCAAGACCTCGAAACAGAAGGTGCATTTAATTGTAGAATCAAAGCATGGTCAGGTTCTGGAAAAGTTTGGATAAAATTCTTATTCACCCTGTGGGCAATTACATCTTCAGGAGTTGTTCGCCCATAGACAAAATGACTAGTATTTGCTAGTGGGAGAGTGGTTATTTCCTACCCCATATTACGTTACTTTCAATTTCATACTCACATTTTTATAAATCAAAAAGAAATGTTCATACAACAGAAAAACATGTACATGTAACTATAAATTAATATATGCAACTATTCTACAAATTATACTTGTTGCTAGACAAACCAGGATGAGATATTCATAATACTTTCTGTAAGCACCATAAGCCTGTAGAAAGATTTCCTTGCAGCAATATGAACAAGTACACATTTTAATGCATTTTGTGATTTAAATGTTGTGATCTATGGTGTTCGGTTGGGGCCACTCGCACCTTCGCACTTTTGCCTTTAGGGCGAAGATGCAGGAGTGCCAAATTGCAAAGGCAAAAGTGCCACTTAGTTATAAAATGGGTCTGCAGTGCATGTGTACCAATAACATCCAAGAGAAACAATATTAGAGCAAAAAAGGTGAAGGCGAGAATTCAAAGCAAAATAGTGCAGATAATTAATGAACCTACACACAGTAACTCTAAAAATTCACCAAATTTAGCTTGCTAAAATTAACTCACAATGATAAAGATTAAAGAACTCCACAAAAGTAAATTGCAAAGGCGAAAGTGCAAAGGTGAAAGTGTGATATTAGTATTGCTCCTTCGCTTTAGCACCTAAGCACTCTGGCCTTCGCATTTTGGCCATCGCATCTTCACACTTTCATACTTTTGCCTTTGCAACTTCGCACTCTTTCATCTTTGCCCTAAGGCAAGAGTGTGAAGGTGTGAGTGGCCCCAAAGGAACATCTGACCTTTATGAAATAACTACTTATCACATTATTATAATTCATACCTTTTTTGCTGAGCCTGATGTACTTGGTGCAGCATCTTTTTCATTCTGTCCCTTTTTGTCCTTCTCCATCCTCTACACAACTTACCTACAAGTATATCAACTCGTGTAATTTACTTTCAACGAAAGGTGAATTATGAAGCAAATGAAAAAGTTAAAATAATAATCTATCTGTAACAGTCATTGAAGACATATCATGCAGACCTTCCTAGTTTAATCAACACAATAATATCAGGCCACAAATTAAATATTGCCCTTTCAGATAAGGATCAATACATACTGTAACATTTCATCAGCATGATCAGTGTTTTAAAATTCTATGGGTCATTTTTACATTCATAAATTTATACACATATTCTCTTAAATATTTTGGTATTTATCAAACAGTTACTAGCTTTGGTGGATTATTTTTTCATAAACTGGGTAGTCCTCGATCAATGCATGAATATAAAATGCAGTTCAGTAACGGACAATATTTGCACAGATCAATTACAGTAAGTATTTACAGCATTTGAGAATGGCAAATAACTAAGTAAAGAGAAGTGTGGAAGGACATGAATTTAACTTATCAGCATCAAATTAAGCTAAATTAAAACATTTTTCTGAAAGGGAAAAAAACAGCTCTAGCTGCTACCCTGTTACTGCTCATGTTTCATGTATATAGAGCTGGATCAAGACACTGAACCTTACAAACCTATTCAAAAATTTAAGACCGTGTTTATTTTCTTTTATTTTTGCAGCTCTGGTGTTATTGCAAGGGATTGCTTAACTATGTTTGTATCATAAAGCAAATTTATGAATGTGTCTTGTTAAGCATCAATCAAATTTTCTCAAGTGTAAACTGGCGACAAGTTGTAAAACATATGATCAACGAAAAGCACTAAATCAATGTCAAAGACATTTATAATTTTTAGTACACATAAAGACTATTGCATTTAGCATTCCTGCGCAATAGGCTTAATGCTTACAGCCCTCATTCATCTAGGGATAAGATAATGCACATAAAAACCCACGCTTTGTAAATATTCGGAACATTGGTTAAGCAATAGAGACACTATGGAGCATTTAATAAAAATTTACTTGATTAAACGGTTAGGTTTACCTCAAACTGACAGTATCACCTGGTAATAATATTGTTAAATGTGTACGTTTGATTTGTAAACGAATTTCTTTTGAGCCGGTTTCACGACCACATGGCCGCCATCTTGCCGCCTCTTTTGTTTGCCTCCCCCGTAGATAAATTTTTATGCATTTTTTATGGAATAGACTTCTCTTTCAAAAAAAAACCATATTTAACTTCTTCCTCATAAAGAAGAAAACTATCATTAAAATTTAATGAATAAATTCAATATTGCTAATGCCTACATTACTTTGTGCTAACAGATTTCAAAAAAATAATTGATGGAATAGCAAATATACAAGTCATGTGAATATTTCGCCCAGTTAATTTCGCGGGAAAATCAAACACCAAATTCGATGACCTTGGCACAGTTTTTAAATATTTTTAAAAATATTTCTTGGCAAATACAAAGGGTTATTTGAAATAAAAGGTATAGCAATTCTGCTGTTTTAGCATTGTAACAAATATCTTCTAGGCTATACATAGAATAAGGGATGCAAAGTTGCCATTTGTACAAAAAGGGTCTAAATCTTTTTATACAAATAGTATCATCTTAAAATATTATTATTATATTTACTTATTTTTATGATTCTGCTTTATAAATATATAAATAACTGATTTACTTTCAACATATCTTGACCTACTTTTCACGAATTACTAATGATCGACTTGTCTAAAACCTTGTTATGACGTTGTTATGGAAAATGATACTTCCGGTCAAACGTGCACGCACCGGTCACTGATCATTATTCTTTCAGGAGCTAACAAGTAAGCAGCTTTAAGGACCGGACAATCTTTTTCCTCTGGTTTGTGATTTGAAAATGGAGCTTAAGGAACGAAGGGCACAGGCAACGTTAAAAGAAAAACTTTCTGATCATTATCGCAAACGAGAATTCAAACCATCAAAACGGGATATAAGCAACTTGGGCGTTAATTTTTTCTGGGGAATGACATTCTCTTTATTTTTTATCTCACAATTTATTCTCATTCCAAATCTGTTCAGTGGTTGGTATATGATTGGAATGATTGCTTTGGTATGGTTCACAATGTTTGAGACAACCATAAATTGGATGGGAATGTATTTTGGAAGCACAAGTTATGTCGAGAAGGAGCTTAGGGCAAAGCATTTTCCCGAGGCCACAGAAAACCCCACTGGATGGCAGTACTGTCTGACGTGTCAGGTACTGTATCTTTAATTAAAGGTTAATTTATCTTAATTTGTGTGGTTTGTTCACATGTGTTGGGCTTAAATATAAAAATGCTCCCTGCAAATAAAAAATCTCTTTTAAAAATTCATATGTTAATGTTTAAGCTTTAAGAGTATAAATCTTTTATTTTTTACACTAGGACCAAGTCCCAATTTATATGATTTAGTTGGACATTAAAACTTGGAATCTAGCTGTGTCTCAGGGGCTTTACCTATCTTTCAAGAAAAATATACATTCAATTAGTCAATTACATATATCAAGTATAACTTTTTTTTATCAATAGGTAGATGCACCACCAAGATCATTCCATTGTTCCTATTGCAATGCCTGTGTTCTAAAGAGAGACCATCACTGCTTTTTCAGCAACTCTTGCATAGGATTCTACAACCAAAGATTTTTCATGCTTTTTATTCTGTACATGGTTTGGGGGACCATATTTGCTTTGTATCTGTTGATATCTTACCTGAATGAATTTCATCCAATAACCTCTTACTATGAGATTTTAACATTTTTCCCATTGGCAACTATAGCTCAGTTTTTACTCGGCTATCTTTCTTTCTTAAATGCATTTGTGATCATACTGATTGTATTATGTCTTTTGTGTCTGGCCGCTGCTATATTTTTCTTAATTTTTGAAATTATGTTAATGTGCAAGGGCATGACATCTTATGAAATGCATAAAACTGGTCCTATCTATGATAAGGGTTTGGGCAACAACATTAGATCTATATTTGGACCCATTAAAACTATTCCTTTGCAAATAATATGTCCTCTATTCCCTGTTGATCAACAAAATGATGGTTCAAAATGGGAATATACAAGAATTAAGGGTCAGTGAATGCACTCTAGTTTCCTCAGCTAATGTGTTCATTTGAAAATAGAAGGGTGCATAATATTTTTCTTCAATCAAATTTTTTACCTTACGTGTATCATATTCCCGTATTGTGATAATTTATTTTAACATTACGTAAAATGTACATTTTGTATCATGGGTTTTAAATTGTATTCACAAGTATGACAATCTGATGAATGCTCATTGTTTGATATTGATACAGTTTTAAATTATTTCATTGAATAATGTGTATTTATGAAATACTAAATGTTTTGTGACAGTATTTTTTTTTTTAATGTGTGTATGTGCATCCATAACTTAAAGTACATCGATGAATTTTAACCCATATTTATTTTATTTTTCTATCAATAAATTCTAATAATCTTAGACAAAGTCTTTCATTTCTTTAATGATTTGGCCTTATTTCATGCATCAGGTGAAATTATTAAATCAGATCCTTTGATTTGCTATTAATGTAGATCACTACACTAGGATCTGAAGAAACTCAATTCAGGGTCATCTCCTGGTGATTTTTCAATTATTCAATCAATTCACTGGCAAGAATTAGCCAGTATCTTGGAATTGAGTTACAGAAGTACAAGTTCATATAATATACTCGTACTTATGAGGAATTGTGGCCTTGTTTCCAGAGCCTGTCTTTAGAACATCCACTCTGTTCTTTGCAGAAATGCAGTTAATATTTGCTCTGTTTTTAGCTCTTTGTTTTGTATGAAATGTTACGATCTTCTCTACAGCTAACTTTACTTCTACTTCCATTTTCCCGAATATTAAGTACAATCTCTATGATTGGTAAAAATTTTTATGAAAATTTATGTTGGAAAGGTCACCAGGAGATGACCCTGAATGGAGTCTCTTTAGTTCTATTTGTGCGGCTCATAGGATCTGATTTAAATCAAACTGAGTAATTCCTGTTTCAGGTTAATATATAATACACACTTAATACTACAATCTAAATGATCCAGTTTGAAATTTCCATAACATTTTTTTAAATACATTATACAGTTGAACTTCGGTACCTCGAACACTGATATCGCGAATTTGGAAGTCCCAACTCCTTATTCTTTGAGTATTTTACCCTGGATATCTCAAATCCTCGGATCTCAAAGTTTTTTCTCTGTTCCATTGAGTTCAAGATAATGAGGTTTGACTGTATATCTATATAGCACAATTGAAGATCAAAAGAAGTTTCATGTCAACAAATAATTTAATTGAACAAATTCTAGATGATAAATCATGCTCAAATTTGTATACCGGTATTTTAAACATTATGTTTGGAGTTTACCAGTTTTCACTCAGTTTTAAGGGCTAAAGTGAATTGATCAGAAATTTTACATTAATATGTAAACAAAGTAATATTCATTGAACAGATGACTTTCACAATAGGATAGAACTTTTCTTGGCACATTAAAAGTCTTCATGGATCACTGTCCTTTGACCATAAGTACAGCAGATGGTACTAAACCTGAAATATCAAGGTGACTTTTATATATCTGTACATACTAGTCATTAATATGCTTTACTACACAAATCTATACACTATACTACACAAGTGTATTGGGGATAGGTATCGGCAAAAATTTCGTATCGTGATATATCATGATTTTCCCCCCAAAATCATGATATTTTAACACAATTTTTACTACAATTTCAAATGAATTTCCATAATATTTCTTAAAAGTATGCTATAAAAACATAACATTACTTTTTAAATTTTCATTTATTTAATAATAAAGCATGTTTTGATGCCACTGTTTAACTGTTTTCAACATCTTTTTTTACACTTCCTGTAATTGTCATTCAATAGTTTGAACAAATGAATGATTAATTTCTGGAATTTATAGCTATGTATCAAATACCGGTATTTTAGTTACCATATCACAATACGTATCACGCAATAAAAAACCGCGATATACTGATATACCGATAAAATCGTGCATCCCTAAAATGTATACAGTATACTAATTAAGTCTCTACAGTATACATCATATATACAAAAAAGTTATCATTTTTAAGAATTACAAAGCACCTGTTCAGTGATTTTCAATAAGATTTCCACTAAAACTTTCCAAACAAAATATGAAAATAAATTTTCTTTATGACCTTATCATGAAGATGAACTTAAGGTTCAAAGACCCTCTGATAAGAGAGATAACTCACTAGAATAAAGGAGTATGATTCCTTTATAAAATTGTCTGGTTCAAAGGCCTTTTCAGTCACATTTTGCTCAGCAGAATATGCTGAAATTCTGTGCATCTTAATTAAAAATAAGATTTCTTTTGGAAAATTGTTAACATTGAAGCAAAATTTTGTATGAGTGAACTGAGGGACAATGAACTTTACTGAAATATAGAGTTTTTGATACATATCAATAACATGTACATCTTGACCTCATTACAGGTTTAGCTAAAATAATTTACACAACCCCTTCTCCTTTGCCACTTTTTAATGACTTTACATGCCATATATGGTTAATATGGAACAAATAAGTGGTTGAGAGCCAGGAATAATTACTTCTATCATCATAAGCAAGAAATTTTAATCAACTTTCCCTTGTTTTCAGGAGATTAAAACTTTTGTCTTGTGTCAATGCAGATCAACTTGAAAAGAATGTTTGTTTAAACTACCAGACTATTCTCCAGAGATGACAACAAACTAACATTCTGCAACAAGTTGAAGAAATCAACTGAATGGTAATGAGTTAACCCATTCTGAATGCAATCTGAAATGATTCAGACATATGTCCATTTCATGAAGTAGTAGCATTCTTAAAATATTACTTAAAACATCTAAAGGTTTTTCATAGTAGGCCTAGTAGCATTCTTAAAATATTACCTAAAACATCTAAAGGTTTTTCATAATCCTCTCCTTGAAAAACCTTTTTAGGGAAGTTGGTCATTAAGGTAAATGGTCCAGAACCATCAGTTCTGTTAGTCTCTATATATAAACGCACAGCTGCCAGTGGTTCTTTAGCTGAAAATTTCTGCGTCAGTGCTTGTCCATTTGTTAACCTGATCTGAAAGATGAAACAATCTAACATTAAATTCTTGTACATGTGTGTTTTATTTACAAAATGTACATTTTTTGTTACAAAATTTATATTTATATATGTACGTCATGAAACAAAAATAATTGTTATACCTTTAAAAATATGTTCCTATATAAATCAATACTTAAAAAAGTCTAACATTTCCAATGTTTTACTAAGCAGGCATAAAAAAATTGTTGCTTGACTGCGGAGTGAGATATTGGACCTGTCGATGAGATGTTGGACTGCTTACGTCACATAATGGGCGGGGTCAGCTAAAATCTCATTTGCATTTGTTGGTATTCGACATACATGTATGTCAAAAAAAATAATAAAACAAGATGTGTTTGTGAAACACTGATGCCCCCGTATGGCAACTTATAGCAAAGGTTAAACTTTCTCAAATGCAAATCAAATATGTTGATACCCAAAGTAAGGTCTTGTCTCGAGGAATAAACCTGTGAAATATGAAAGCCCTAGCAGCAACCATTGAATAGATATGGAAAAGGTTAAATTTTTTTTCAAAAGTATGTTAAACATCAAGGTTAAGGTCAAATGGTCAAAATTAATGGTGCCAAAGGAAAGGCCTTCTCCCAAGAAATACACAGGTGAAATATGAAAGCCGAAGCACCAATCGTTCAAAAGTTATGGACAAGGTTAAAGTTTTCCAAAAGAAGGTCAAACTCCAAGGTCAAGGACAAAGAGTCAAAGCTACTGGTATCTAAAGAAAGGTCTTGTCAGTAGGATTACATATGTGAAGTATGAAAGCCCTAGCACCAACCGTTCAAAAGTTATGGCCAAGGTTAAAGTTTTCCAAAAGTAGGTCAAACTCCAAGGTCAAGGTCAAAGGGTCAAAGTTGTAGGTATCCAAAGGAAGGTCTTGTCACAAGGATTACACATGTGAAATATGAAAGCCCTAGCACTAACTGTTCAAAAGGTATCGCAAAGGTTAAAGTTTTCCAAAAGTAGGTCAAACTCCAAGGTCAAGGTCAAAGGGTCAAAGTTGTTGGTATCCAAAGGAAGGTTTTGTCACAAGGATTACACATTTGAAGTATGAAAGCCCTAGCACCAACCGTTCAAAAGTTATGGCCAAGGTTAAAGTTTGGTAAAATTTTGCGAAACTGGGTCAAACTCCAATGTCAAGGTCAAATATGGTGGTACCCAAGGAAAGGTCTTGTCAAAATGAACACTCATGTCAAATATTAAAGCCTTACCCTTGACAGCGCAATAGTTATGGGCTATGTTAAAGTTGACAACAGACAGACAGGACAAAAACAATATACCCCCAGGATCTTTCAATCCGGGGGCATAATAAATAAATAAAAGGTATAACAAAACATTTATTGACTTCGTTCTCGGGCAAAATGCATTCTGTCGATCCCTCGAACCAAACTGTTTGCCTTCGGCCTAACGGCCTCAGGCAAACAGTTTGGTTCTTGGATCTGACAACACTATGAACCCAGTCAATAAATGTACACATAATATTAGTTGATTATATCTTTTCTGCAAGTTTTTCAGGTTATTTACATGTATCTCTAAAAAAGATTATATTGACACCATCAATAAAAATCAACTACATGTACAACTGAACTTCCTTATCTCAAACATCAATTATCTTAATTACTATGGATATGTCGAAGTATGCTAGAAGTCCCAAATACTTTTTAATTATGGTTTTAACCTCAATATCTCAAATTTTGGGAAATCTTGGCCCAATAGAGTTAAAGAAAAAGAGGATTGACTGCACATGTACAAGTATTTTAAAGTGATACTCAGCATTCATTAGATACCTGTAATCTACACTCAGTGTAGTCCTTCTTTTCAGCAGCCTGTGAAGGCTGAGCAGCAGTGGGTGAGGTCACAGGGTTAGGTGCTGCTGCCGCGGGCTGTCCACCTGAACCAAACTACAACAAAAGGTCTCCTAAAACAGCATTGCTTTACAAATACATATAAAATTAAAGAGTGTCTTGAGCAAGATAACCAAAAATATTCAGATCTCTAATTCTCTATTAAAAGTTAGTCCTAAATAAAAACAGAATTTTTTTTAAAAGCTTTTTAAGAAAATATATATTATACATGTATTAAAATACAGTGTATTGGTGTTCCTTGTACCACTGGCTGTTAATCATTTCATTGGTTATTTCTCATACATGTACCAGATATAATAATGCAATACAATCCACATACACATAAATCCATTTTCTTATAGAGTATATCAGAATACAGAAAGATATAAAAATATTTTTAAAATGTCTTAATACATGTACATGTACTTTGAAATATCTTAAATATGAATTACCTTTGCTGCTCTGTCTCGTTTATCTTTCTCAATTTGCTCCTTCACTCTCTGTCTGAAATAGTGTTTCAATTTATATGATGTATAGATGTTATGTTCTATGATATGAAAAATTCTTACAGTACTTTGATAATGAAAAGAAACACTGTCTGTATTAGAGAACAACTGCTAGTCTATAATGAATTTCCCATTGTACATTTCATAGATCATTATCATTACGTTGTACCACATTGATTGTGGTGATACGACAGATATAAAATGTCCTAGCAATATTTGGCGAACTCTAAACAGTTTTATTTTACTCATTATTTCCGGCAAAACATCTCTAAAAATGGACTTCTCAGTAATACTAGTATTTGCATAAGGAGGACTGCTTGTTTTATTTCATTCTCTCATATGCAATAGTTTGCACTTGTATATATACCACAACTACAATGTATTTTTGTATGTTAGTTACCTTGTACATATACCACAACTACAATGTATTTTTGTAAATTAGTTACCTTGCAAGTTTTTCTTCCATTTTCTCTCTCCTCCTTTGTTCAGCAATTTTCTTCATCTCTTGCTCTTCCATTCTAAGAACACATGAACATTTGTTATTTGAATTTTAATACTTTGTTCACTTTTATGTAGTTGAATATAGATATTTATTAAATCTAAACCTTTTCAATTTGAAAATGTTAAATTAGACAATTTGCTTATTTTATTAATACGGCAATACTATTCCTGATGATCATTTTTTTTTTATGGTTCAGTGTATCAAGAGAACTCTCTTGAATTATACTAGGCATATAAAATGTACTTGTAAATGCCTACTTCTGTTTGATGTCTATGAGTTCTTTCCCCGTTTTTCGTCTTGATTTTTCTCTTTCTAGTTGGTCCTTTTTCTCTTGTTCCTCTCTTTCCAGTCTTTTCTGTTTTATTCTTTCTTGTAGCCTGTAGAATATAAATGACAATCAAACATGCAGAATGATGTCATAAGACCATCTCAGCATATTAAGTCCAATTCATCATTACTTATACAATGTACATGTACATGTATTTAATTGAATATTGCAGCCAATCATAGCTTTGCTTTGTCTACCTTTTCATATTGTTATACTGTACTGTCTTCCAGCCACTGTTGAGAATTGACAACACCAATTTTAACCCTTCATAAATTTATTAAGCAATCATATCATTATAGTACAATACACAAAATGTTGGATGGAAATGGCCACAAATTTTGTAGGAGTCAAGGGAGACAACTAGGATACCATAAACAAAACAGGCAAACTAGTGGCCTCACTTATATGCTAGTGCCATGAAACCCCATGCCTGACATGCATGGTGGCTAGGCACACAAGCTGCACAGCTTTTTCACCCTGTCTCTGGCTTGCTACCTGGTTTAAAACTTTACACCAACCAGCCTGTAGCCTCTCCTCCTTTTATAAAGGTAGAGGGGGTCTGAGCACTAAAATGCTGCAGACCCCAACCAATTTACACTTATTCCACACATATCCTCAATGGCATTTAACTTCCATTTTAACACACAGCCATGAAACATCCATCATGCTTTGATGCAGATGGGCAGAGACAACAGGTTAAGCTTGTGCAGGAATGATTTTTTTACCTGACCCAGCCACATACATGTATTTATCTAAAATAACATTTTAATCAAGAAAAACTTAATTTCTACAAGAATTCTTTTCTACCTTATTTCTTAAATATTCAACCATTGACAAGGGCAGTAATATGAAAAGAAAGGGCCAAAAATTTTCTTTGAAGACAATACACACTTTTCAAGCTGTACTTTCTTCTCTTCTTCAGTTAAAGGTTTGATTTCTTCAGTGGATTCTGAGAAGCTGTCGTGTTGTGTTCGAGCTGCATGAGCCTGAGCATCCATCTCATTTTTCAGAAGTTTTCCGCAACTGTTGTTTACAGATAAAGAAAATCATAAAAAGTATACATCTGTAATATTTTCCTGCCTACTTTCAAAATACTTAGTTTACTGTGAACCAACAATTTATCACGTCATCTTTTCTTTTAGTTTATTTGACCATTTCTACATCTATTGGAAAACCTGACAGGACACAGAAATATTTGTAACTGCAGACTTACGGTTTACAGATTTTTTTTTTTTTTTTTTTTTTTTTTTGCATTAACACACATACACATGTATCTGTAAAACTTAAACGTGTTAACAAATTTCAATAGCTTTTTCATGTTTTTGTCAACACAATAAAGTTTATAGACAAAACCATAAATTTACAATGCATTGTTTCTATACATATATTCTATTTGTTATCTCTCATAAATTCCTACATATTACACAAGAATCAGATCATACTTTGAAACTAAAAGAAGGATCAGTTGAAAAATTCAATGTATTCCAAGTTAGGAAAATTTCATGAAATATTTTCATTCACCACACTACATTAAAAACAAAACTTACACATCACATTTGATTGACATGGCATGAACTGGTTCTCCACCCGCATTAGCACTGGCTTCTGTGGCTTCAGACTGTGAAGGTCCAGAGCTATCATCTGTAAGACATAATCACTGAATCAAAATACAGTTGAACTTCAGCATCTCAAACACTGATACATGTATCTCGAATACCATGGATATGTCGAAGTGATTTGGAGTTCCCAACCACTTATTCTTTAAGTATTTTAGCCTTGATATCTGGGATCTTTGGATATCTTAAAGTTTTTCCTCGGTCCCATCAAGTTTGAGATAACAAGATTTGACTGTATTTTATATTAAAATAGAAAAAAAGCTGCGTGAATTAATTCATATGCAAGAAACATTCATCAAAGTGCATTTAAAGTATGTCTGGATTAGACATGACATGCCTGGTTTTCCTAAAACATTTCCTTGAGGGGGTGGAGGTGCTTGAAATGGCTCATCAATATCAGGATCGTCTTCATGTGCAAACAGCCTGGGAAAAAAATGGTTATCAAAGCTAAATTAAATCAGTTACATTCAAGGAAGGCCAATTTTTGTGGACTGTTAAAATTTCACACTGACACAGGTTCAATAGGACATAATTTCAGGTTGAATGTCTTTTAATAAAAATATTGCCAATTTATCTACATATACTAATACATCTTGATTGTAATTTGTGGGTTAGAAGTTCCCGTTAAGTCCACAAAGATTGAACCCATTGGCAAACAAAATGTAATGATTCCAATATATCAATTAGTTTATGTGTATATTATTTAATGCAGACATTTATGCAAGTGTTTAAAAAAAACTGAAAGGAAATGAAGGGGATCACACCCCCACCCCATCCAAAAAAAAAAATCAGAAAAAAACGTCTTTCTCCTCTATCATGTCTATTCCTACGTATTTTATACATTTCATTTGTGCTGTTTACTCCCATCTATACATACACCAACTCAGTATTTTGATACAGATTTAATTTCATCATAATAGCTAAAACAAGGGCATTGCTATTCAGGTTAAAAAATTCTTACATGAAATAATTTATTATACTTACCAATCCATGGCCAGCTGAACACCCTTGTAGCCGCTCTTTGCCAAAGCCTTTTCACTATAAGAAATTAAACTACATTTTAGTCCCATTTCAATGTCATCTGGGTTTAAGACCTGTGTACATACTTTATGCATATTATACAACTTTGTCGATGAATCTGATGATAATCATGCATGCAGGCATTAGCAATGTCCATCAATAAGTTTGCCACATTGAAATACATACATGTGACAGTGTAGTTCTATTGAATATCTTACCCGACTAAAGCTATAAAAGTCATTGAAACGGATACTGTCAATCAGTGGATCACTTCTGCTTCCCCATTACTCAATATACTGATCTACTGATCATATGATCATATAGGCCTACTTTTTGAAAATTTTACTTTCACTATGATTGTAAATATCATTTACTTACGCTCTATTTTTGGAAAATCCCATTTCCATTAATGTCTGTACATCTGACGACATTTTCTGCAGTGTAATGTGTTTATATAAAACAGGAGACCTGAGACTTTATAACGCCACTTTTCGAACAGTGAAGCAACCGAGTAATGACAGTGCAAATTCGAAACGATTCAGCTCGGGCTAATGACTGTATAATAACGAAAGACTATAATAACTTCCAAATTTTTATAAAGAAAAAAAAGAAGTATAACTACATTTTTCGAATAAATGTTATTTAAAACATATTTTCGACATATTAAAAAAAAAAAAAACAATAATGACACATACAAAAGAAGGAAAAAAGAGAAAGAAAAGAAATTTTAATATTTTTGCATTGTGTATTTCAAACCCGATGTAGTTTTCTCGAATTCAACAGTTGTTCAAATTTCTATTATTGAGCTTTTTTTCCTTTTGAGATATAACACAACTGGAAATTTTAATAGGTTTTTATGATTAGTTTATACGATGTAGTAAAAACAAATATTAATGCACAAGATATTGTAACTATCGATTAAAATAAATGCTTGAAACAGGACATGAGGCCACTGAGCTTCCTGGATGGACAGTCCGAATGAGATGATTACAAAATTAGTATTTGCTGAAGAAACGAGGATAAGGCAGAAAATTGGTAACATCCTGAGATTAAGCTGATTAGGTCATTCCAAGTTTTTTCTATGTTTAGCGTCCGTGGAGATTGGTTTAGAGATTATGAAATTAAAAACGAACACAAATTAAAATCAACAAATACAGATTTACTCTTTTGGGATTGGCATCTCTCTTTTTTATAGTGGTATAACAAAGTTTTTTTTGTTTCAATAAACTAGTAGTTTACTTATGTTACAATGCGAGGAGAATTCTCAAATGATGATGGAAAATTCTAGAATTGTGCTTAAATTGTTGTCAGTGGTTTTTCCCCCTTTTGGTTTGTATTTTTTTTTTTCGGATAGAAAGATAGGTTTTCGAATTTGGGGTAGAAGCTAAACAAAAAAAAACCAAAACTTGGAATGGCCTTAATCATAGAACCCGTCCGCATTTAATAATGTTCATCTAGGGTTTATTAGCAAAGTGTTTTCGCCAAATCGTAATAGATATACACAGACATAAATATGTGCTGGCATAAATGAAACATTTTTTTCCTGATTATATTAATTAAAATGAGGAATATTTTTTTTTTTATTTTACAAGTCTTCACTGACAAGGTTTTTATAGACTATCTGTATTTTACCAACGATTTTTTTATTCTATGCCAATGTATTTTACGTAGCTGTAAACGAAAAGATGACACCCCCCACCCTCTGAGATTCCCCCTAGATTCGTCTATATTAACAGAGAAACAGCAAACCTTCTTTAATTAACGTTAATTAAATATCAAATCATAAGATACTGCATGATTTTGCAGAGAATGTGGGTAATTTAAATAAAAGTAATTTTTGTAACATGCCTTCCAGATTTGTTTTCAACTGATTGGATGGCTAGCAACTACAAAGTTGGAAAACATTTTTATTTTGGCCTTGGGATGAACCATATAAAGGTTTTATGGTTACAACATACATGCGAGGATCTAGAGGGGGTGGGGTGGGTGGGTCCGGACCCCCCACCCACCCCCCTACCCCCTGGAATTTGGAGTTACTAAAAGTATATACTGAAGCAAATAAAAATTGACTTTAGAACCCTAGAAATCGTGGACCCCACCATGACCACCATGAAATAGGTATTTATCATGTTTTGGAAATGGATTTTACGTTTTTGTTTGTTTTTTATGCTTGTCAAGAAATTTTCTGGGTAGGGAAAGGAATTCAGGAGGGGTTTTTTCTTGTCAAGAATCCCCCCCCCCTGGAAAAAATTCCTGGATCCGCGCCTGAACATAGGATTGACTATTCTGCTAAAACGTACTTAAAAAATATCAGGGCAAACCTGTTTCTGGGTAAGCTGACCCCATTTTGAAGAAAATGGGGTAGGAAGTTTGTTCAGATTATAGCCCCCCTCCACCCCCACCCCCCGGAGTAGGGTGGAACCACAATTAATAGAATTTTTTTTCAAGAGTAGCAGGGATGATTCAATGTTGTTTCTCTTTTCAATTATTGACACTGGGGCTAAATACTGACTCAATCGGTGATACTGTTTGATATATTTAAGTCTGAAAAATTTCCACATGGACATTTTCCCTGATCAAAGTAAAACGGCACGGACTACATCAGCTGTACATGTTTGCCACAGTGTTAGCTGTAAAACAGCTGATCAGCACGGACTAAGTGTGCTCAGAATCCAGTGCTTAGCTGTAAAACAGCTGATCAGCACGGACTAAGTATGCTCAGAATCCAGTGCTTAGCTGTATAACAGCTGATCATCACGGACTAAGTGTGCTCCAGTGCTGAACTGCAAAGGCGTTTAATATACTAGTACAAGTGAAGTACATGATCTTATTTCATATTTCTTCTTTCAAAAAATGGACTATAGGGTGCAATATGCTCGACATGTGTAGAATTCCGTTCATTGCAGAAGGCCGGCCACATTTTGATGCAATCTACTATATAGTAAGTCATTGTGCGCGTTGTTAATGCATACACATTTGCATTATTTGTTACATCATGCATGCATATGAATTTGGAAAATATTGTTGCCCGTAGACATTTGTGAATACTTTTGCCAATTTTTTACTGCTTATTTTGATGTTTGTTTATTTTATTATGTCCATGTGCAAATGTTTTTATTTTTTCAAACAATTTCTTTCGATAATTAATAAATCATAATGACGAAACTGCATCTTTCTTTCGAATGAACAACGAATGTAGTTCTCTCTCTCTCTTTCTCTCTCTCCGGAAGATCAAAAGTACAAGAATAACCACTTCATATCATCTTTACTTCAGATAAAAATATGTAATTATGCAAATTTTTTTAATAATTATTTATTTTATCTACGTAAATTATTCTCTTCATATTTGATTTTAATCCAATGGTTCCTCACGCTTTAAAAAAAAAAGACGCATGTGCGATAGCCCGAACATCCGGCACCATGAACAGAATTCATTGTTTGTAAATCTCATGGTGGACAGTTTTTTCTAGCTATCTCATCGATTCTGAAGATACAAACTACTGGTAAAGGTAGAATTTCTCTTGTGGATATACATTTATATTCATAAAAGAAAATAATGGTTTTCGCGTCCAGGATATTTATTGTAAGAGAAAGTGAGACAGATTTGGTAATGGGTTTCATAGTAAAGTTAGGCGAACAGTCATACCAGTGGCTTGAAAAAGAAATAACTGTTAGTATGTAAATGTATATTAAACAACGTAAGAACTGTGTTATGCATGAAGTTTCAAACCACTATTACATTTAATAGATCAGGCACAATCGCTACATTTAGCTACGTAGTTTTTATTTAGCTAATACTTTATCATACTGAGCATTTGCTTAAACAAATACAAAAATAGTACTTTGGTGCATTGAGAGTTTTCAAGTTTAAACTGTTCTGAATTTCTATCACACCCTCTCAAGTGGAATATATTTTTTCACTTTGACTTCTTTTTATTTTTGGCTCAACAGAAGTAGGGTTTGGCTAGGTTCGACCCAGAAGTGAAGAGGAGTCTTACCAACCAACTTCTGCCAACTTTGAAAGATGCGGTAAGATTAGAGCTCTTTTTATTATACGCAGCTTATTTTAAACTTAATTTCACATGAGCTAGACTGAGTATCATTTTTGACTTATTGACTTTGCATTGAGAGGATGTAGAGCAACAGAATCCATCGAAAGCAGCACATAAAGCTACTTAGGACCCAAAGACCGCGTAAAAGGTTTGCTTTTTGTCTTAAAACCAGACATGAGGTGAGTTGAAATGTTTTTCTAGCATGTATCTGTTTCCCAATCCCCTCCCGACCCCTTTCTAACAATACTAACCATTTTGCACATTACTTTTTGTTATTGTCTCCTTTCTTAGTATGTTTTTATGACCTGTTTCTTTTTATCATGCTTTTTATAATTTCTTTTTAAACTTTACTAATCTTGTGTCAGTTTCTATCTTTGACAGGATCACAGAGGAAGGAGGCCAGATGGAAGGTGACCGACCACACAACGGAGAGGAGACCATTGCCAGGATCCAGGATACAGAGTATCCACTATGGCAACATTCGCTAAGGTGGTAAGGAACAAGCTACATTTGTTTCTCTCTTGGAGTTTTTTTTCTATTCTTTTTTAATCTGAGCCAGCACTTGTTTGGTCTTTTGACTTTCTATCTTTAACTTCATTGAAGAATGGCTTGGCAAGAATCAATCCCAGCTTAGAGGACGACTCCATCACTCTTCGAGCAGAGTGCGAAGAGTAAGGAAGGACTGCAGTTTTAACCTAGAATTGAGGTAAGACACAAACAATTCCCCTTTTGAGGTTTTTTTTGGTCTTTGTCATTTGGATGAAGTTTGAGCACTTTTTTTTCTTTGATTGACTTCTTTCTTTTGTTTTAAAGACCAAGTGTTAGACTGGTCTCCGTCCCCAGTTTCAGAGAGCAGCCTACTTACCAGAAGAAGAGTCCAGATAGGAGGGATCAACTGCGGCCAATCCTACACATAAAGGTAAGAAGATGAAGCGTGTAATGAATCCTTGCTCACCCTGTTTGAATTTCTATCACATGCACCCTCTCAACTGGAATATACTTTTTCACTTTGACTTCTTTTTATTTTTGGCTCAGCAGAAGTAGGGTTTGGCTAGCTTCAACCCAGAAGTGAAGAGGAGTCTTCCCAATCAACTTCTGCCAACTTTGAAAGATGCGGTAAGATTAGGGCTCTTTTTCTATTATACATTGCTTATTTTGAATTTGATTTCACATGATTTACATTGAGTACCATTTTTGACTTCTTGACTTTCCATTGACAGGATGTAGAGCAACAGAATCCATCGAAAGCAGCACATAAAGCTACTTAGGACCCAAGGAGCACGTAAAAGGTTTGCTTTTTGTCTTAAAACCAGACATGAGGTGAGTTGAAATGTTTTTCTAGCATGTACATGTATCTGTTTCCCAATCCCCTCCCGACTCCCTTTCTAACAATACTAACCATTTTGCACATTACTTTTTGTTATTGTCTCCTTTCT